TTTTAACATATTTGACCCCTGTGACCTTGAATATAAGGCAAGGTCATTTATTTGAACAAACTTGGAAGCCCTTAATTCAAGCATGTAACTGGCCAAATATCATCATCCTAGGCCTCTTGGTTATTCAGAAGAAGTTGTTTAAAGATTTTAACATATTTGACCCCTGTGACCTTGAAAATTGATGAAGGTCATTTATTTGAACAAACTTGGTAGCCCTTCATCCAAGCATGCTTCTGGCCAAATATCATCACCCTAGGCCTTTTGGTTACTGAGAAGAAGTTGTTTAAGTAAAAAGTTGATGCCGGACGGACGACGGACGCCGCACCATGCCATAAGCTCACTTGGCCCTTCGGGCCAGGTGAGCTAAAAATGTAGTGTTTTGCATACGATCTGTATACAAGTATGTCAACATAAACAACAGAGAAATGAATCAATTGCAACATTTAACAAGCAAATTCATGGAATTTATATCCCCCGCTTGCAGGACATATTGTAGGTTAACATAATTGAGGTTAGGTTTAAGCATGCGAGTATCGTGCTGTTGAGACATAATATATAGCTTGAAACTTGAAGAGAAAAAAAGCCCTATACCTCATTGATTATCTGTAAATATGAAAAAATCATATTGGTTGGCAAACTTAGCATGAGTCGGATGTGCATACGGAATTTGGTTGAAACATTTGAACAATATCTACAGCAATTATCACACAAAAACCAAAGAGTGCCCAAAATGGGTGGAAATACAGAGGAACACAAACATTGTTATCAAGTTTGAAGGAATTTGGCTAATATTTGCTAGAGTTATTCAGCGGAAACTGCAGATAATGACATTTTTTTGTTAATCAAGGGGCCATATCTCTGCTAAATGAAGTCTGATAAGTGGTTGTTAAACTTGGCCGAGCCCCTAATGCGCTGAACCCTGTTACTAAGTTTGAAGACAATCAGATAATATTTGAATGAGTTAATGAACAGAAACGGAAGAGAATGACGGTTTTCGTTATTCAAGGGGCCATAACTCCTCCAAATAAAATCCACTCAAAGTGGTCATCAAACTTGGCCGAGCCGTTAAGGCATTTAACCCTGTGACAAAGTTTGAAGAAATTTGGTTGACATTTGTTGTAGTTATTGCACGGAAACGAAGCACTGCAGTTAAAGACGTTTTTCGTTATTCAAAGTCCATAACTCCGCCAAATAAAAAAGTCCGCTGAAAGTCGTCATTGAACATGGCCGAGCCCTTGAGGCATCTAATCCTGTGACCAAGTTTGAAGAGAATCGGTTAATATTTCTTGTAGTTATTGCACAGAAACAAAGTCCGGCAGATAATGACGTTTTTCATTATTCAAGGGACCATAACTCCTCCAAATAAAATCCACTAAAAGTGGTCATCAGACGTGGCCGAGCCGTTAAGGCATTTAACCCTGTGACCAAGTTTGAAGAAATTCAGTTAACATTTGTTGTAGTTATTGCACAGAAATGAAGCATGAAAGACGACAGACAGACAGACCTAAATTAAAACAGTATCCCCCGTTTCGGTGAAAGTGGGGGGTAATTATTTACAAATATACAGTATATACTACATATGAAGGCCAACCTGACATTGGATAGCGCTAATTTATTAAGAATGTGTTTGCTTTAGATTGTAGCCGGCCGAGAGAAATTTCAGGACCGTAATGAACAGGTTGTTTTTACATGGATTGCTTTACTTTGTGAAACAACACTGGTTTTTCGGAATAGACAGGGTCCGGTTTATACAGGGTTTAACTACTATGATTATATCGAGAATATGCCAGGACCACAAATCACAGCCAGTTTAGACAGGGATCCAAGTTAGACAGGGGCCAGTTGCCTGTTTAGACAGGTGTTACTGTATATGAATCTGAGGGTTGTAATCAACACATGGTTCGGTTGTTATACATCATCCGTCTGTAAAATTTGGTAATCATTTTTATTTTGCTCTAAAATGAGTACAGAAGAGATTGACAGTTTTACAAACTCATGTATACCAAACAATACCCCTCCAAATGAAAGGTATACAGCTATATTTACATTTGCTCTGCACCTTTCCATTGCAATGCATTGAGAAGGCAAATGTTGTAACGTCATCAATTTCATTGTTGTCAGCACTTCGTTTGCTGTTCAGAGAAATGTTCAAAACAGGCTTTATTAAGTTTGTTGATATTATCAACATGATCAATTATGATCAATGTAATCAATGTTGATTACATTGCTACAATCAACAGCAATGTGTGTTATAGGACCATAACAACATTCATTGCTTAAATATGTGACCTGCTACTATCTGTATGAGGATCCTCACCTTACCAATCGTGTCCAGGTTGTCCGGGTCTATCTCGTTGAGGAAATTTGTCTCGGTGCTGGTAAACACCCGGTCTCTCAATGGCCACACAGTGATTGCAGTGTTATCTGTAGGCTTTCCTAGTTTGAAATGGGAGAAGAATCTACAATAAAATATACATGTATTATTTTCTTTTGTAACGCGTAATAAAACTAGAACTGTAATCCAAAGATTAACTGATACCCCCTGCTCCCATATAAACTAGAACTGTCAGCTAAAGGCTAGCTAAAAAAAACACTCCCATATAAACTACAACTGTAAGCTAAAGGCTAACTAAGTCAAAGTATTGCAAAGCAATCCATAGTCCCCTACCAGTAATGAATGAAAAATTAATACCTGGATGTACAACATTAGCGGGTTATCGTATCTGAAAACTTGCGTTAAAATTGGCCGGTAGATTTTGAGGATTAGTCTAGACAAGGATTTTTCAACAAAGGGCCATAATTCTGTATAAAAAAGGGTCAGAATGAAAAGATAAAAGTGAGGTGCACAACTATATGATCAACTGATTAAATGTATGCAGTTTAATTGAAATTGGTCCATTACAAATAATTGTCCAGACATATAACTTCTATGTATGGACATGTACAGACAGACAGACAAGCTTTTTCCAGTATGACACCCTTACTTCCATGCGGGGGTATGAAAACACAATTTCTAGTTGTGTACACTAATGTATTATATTAGAAGTACTATCCTAGGAGAAATAAATAAATTTTATACAATATCATTTCTTAAGAAAAATGAAAAAAAGTAAAAAAGAAAACCTTAAATATTTACATGTTAAATCAAAATTGAGGAAATGTATGCAATATTCACCCATTCTTCACTCATTTTCATTAGCCCAAAAAATGTATGAATTTTAATACCTCTCACTATCAGTTTTGTGCACCCGTTTGATATATTTGTACTGAGAATTTGTTTACTGCAGTTTTCATTTTCTCCTGTTCCTTTTCTGTAACGAGGGTCAAATTATCTTCGTACCCTGCTTACCCTATATAATAATTGTATGTGAAGGGTGTTTACACCAGGGGAATCTGGGTTTTAATGGTGAACGGTGAATATTTGACTGGGCAGAATTTATCCTTCATACCCTATATAATAATTATATGTGAAGGGTGTTTACACCAGGGGAATCTGGATTTTAATGTTGAACGGTGAATATTTGTCTTGGCAAAAGTTTTCCTTCATACAGTAATTTACTGCAGGTAAATACTTTTGTATACCTTTGTAAAATATATTTACATACTATTGGGATATTATTTCCGTGCACCAATATCATACAGGATAATGACATAAACTGTATTACCTTTGGAATATATTTTTACAAGGATCAGGATACTGAGCTATAGTCCCAAATTCTGAAACAACAATCCTATTAGCAGCCATGTTTTTCTTGTAGGAGTCACTCTGGATAAACTTCCGTGAGAATGTAGCCGTTCCATCTCTGACCTCGAACTTCTGTACGGCTCCCATGCCGTCAAACAGGTGCTTGAAGTTGTCCTGTCCAATCTGGAACATTGCCGGGCCGTTCCTGTAGAGGGCGCCATTCACCCAGGTAGGGATAGTGCCTGGTGATACAACAGCCAAGTGCTTATGTCATTAAAACACATTTGTTTAATCTTCGTAATACATGGTTTACATAAAGTGTCCAAAAATCATCAGAAATGGAAGTAATGTAGGTGTCTTTTCCCTACAAAAGGCTATTAAGCCATTCACCCCTGAAGAAACATTTGAACTCTTCCAATTCAATGGTTTGAATAGTTCATTATGAAACTTCAGGGGTGAATGAGTTAAGCTATTTCACTATCTAACAAACCTCACAAACTTTTTACAAGCATTACAACTTAGTCCATCTATGCAACAAACATTTCGCCACACTCTCACAAACATCACGCAACTCTGTCCATTTTTTCCCAGAAGTCACAAAGTCCAGTCTGTCATTAATTTCAAAGTTTTACTTTCTACACAAACTATGTACGTATTTAGCAAGTCGCAATATTTCAAGACCGACTGGTCCCTTTGTCAAGCTAGGACATAGCTTGACAAAGGGACCAGTTGATCTTCACAAAGGGACCATTCAGTCTTGAAACGTTGCGACACGTTTAATAAGTAAATTGTTTGTGAAGAAAGTTAAACTTTGATATTTCATATTTCCAAACTGATGAATCTTATTGAAGCCAGTCTGTCATTAACGGCCAGAATTGATACCAAGGTTAATGGTAAAGATTAGTAATGTGGTGTTGGTTCTGAAAGCGATTTGCACTACATTTTGTATGATGTAAGCGACAACTACCAGTATATGTTAACATACATACTGTACATAGGGAACTTTTTTGCCACAGGTTAACTTTTATCTTTTCTGCTCTCCACAATCAGTGGTGGTTCTACCTAAATTTTACAGCAGCCTGTACCAACTTTGGTACACCGAATTTGGGAAAGTATAGCATAATTCGCACTGAAATTGGGACGATTATCCTCATTTTTTATTTATTTTGGTAAAATAGAAGATTTTGTTTTGCTAGAGGATGCAGTCTGTATTCAGCTGTAAAAATCAGCAAAAAAGTTCACTGATAATGAAGGCCAATTAATCTTTAGAGAGAACATAAGCAATTAACGTAGTAATAAAATACGAAAACACTTTTTTAATGGCTGAATACATATTTTACTAGCGTAGGACAAAATTTTGACAGAGACAAAGTTTCACAATTACACAGTAAATTTATCAGTTTTAGTATTCCACTTAACAAAATCACAGATCTAAGTCTGTGCCAACAAACTATATATACATAAATACAAATAGACTTTCTACATAAATACAATATACCAAGAACATGCATATCTTGTTGTTTATATTGTATTGTACATGCACTGAAGTTAACTTGATTCACCTGTAAGTTAACACTTGACTCACCTGTAAGTTAACTTGACTCACCTGTAAGTTAACTTGACTCACCTGTAACGATGCCTTCTGTAGCGGGTACCTCATCTTTTACGCCCTCGTACAGTCTGTGCATTTTCGAAGGTACAGTCGTTCCTAACGCCCTTTTCGTGAGAGGCACTAAAAACGAAAGGTTTTATGACTAAAAATTGTTCAAACCAAATCGATTAGTCAAACTTACTCAAAGGGACCATGAAAGCCACTGAGATCAAAGGAAATTAAACATAAAGAAATTTAGTGCATATGTACATATCAATTAACTACCATGGAAATTTGATATAGCCAAGTGAAATATAAACATGTTCTAATAAGCAATAAACCTTGATATACGGGTCAATAATTTATATAATATCATTAAGCTGTTTTACCTGCCAGCACCACAGTTCCACTTCAATGATAACTGGGGAATAAACATTTGTAAAATACCTATACTATGCCCCGATTCTTGCTTTAATGGAAAAGGAGATAAACTCAGTCTTAAAAATTGGTGAAATAGAAATTATTAGTTACATGACCTACATCTGATATATACTGCTAGGTACTTCTCAAGATTCATCCGCTTATGAAGCTTGAAAGCCGTTTGACTAGTAGTGCATGTATTGGAATTATGGGGTTTAATACATGAAAGACAAGTCAAAGTCAGTGAAGTAGAAAATTTAGATCACAATGACCTACATTTGATTGCTATAGTATTCCTTAAGATGATTTATGAAATAATGTTCTATATATACCGCAGTACTGAGAGGTATTCCAAATTGAAAAAAAAAAAAAGAGCTCTTAGGCGGAACTTTTCTTCACAAGCTCTTCACAATTAAAACTTAGCCGTACACCAGTACCATTTACCTTAAAATTGATTTACAATACCTGTAGCACAAAGACAATTATAGTCTTCTTACATCATAAGCAGACTTAAAACCAATCAATCAACCAATCAAAATACATTATAAATTAAAACTCTTATTATGTAGATTTCACAATGAGTGGCTTTTGTTTATCATAGGGTTGTATTTAATTAGACAGGTAACTGGTTACTCGGTCAGAAGTCCCAAGAACTACTGGTGGCAAAATTTAAAAACCAAATAGTTAGACATTTAAATTATCATGCTTACAAGAATATACATGTATGTGTATTGGAAATATGTGTTGAATATTATTTTGGTAAAAATAAACTGAGTTTGCTGTTGTTCAGTCTTTATTATCAAGTTGACAAATTAACTGGTTACTCGGGCGGAATATTTTATGAGTAATTGATGACTAAAACTGACTGGTTCTACAACCCTAATTTAATTACCAATTAAATATTGAGATTAGTCGGATAAATGTGACAAACAAATTTCACCAGCTGTGGAATATCTTTCTACCAAACCCATTAAATGTTTTCTGTCATACTAAACTAGAGAACCAAAACATTTGATTTCCCTTTCAGCAATCCTCGCTTTTGACATAGCAGATTTGCATTTATAACATCATGTACATGTTGGCAATCATGATCATAGTTGTACATGTTACATCATATTTGAAGGTTTTGAGGTCAAACTACCTGGTAGCGAGCACCTAACACAGGTGTGTGTTATACTCACAAATAGTTAATGGTTCCACTTATTAGTAACCCATTGCCTCAGCCTGATATAATAAAGGTGGGCTCCCACATAGCTTTTGACATTGTGACATCATCATTATTCTCGTTTTAAATGTGATCGTGTTATTTAAAAAAGAATGAGTTTATTTGGAAGACCTTAAGCAAATTATAGTCATCAATTTATAATGAACAGGTATACGTATGACAGTATGATATAGAAGGATTGGTGAACAATCTGCTATATAATTAAAAATATGAAACATTGGCGAAATTGATGTAAGAGAAAGCAATTGAATTGATGTCAGATGAAAAGTGAAAGAATGAAAGACAGACTGTTGAGGACAAGGTGTTATTGTGGGAGAATGTAGGAATGGGGGTGTTGATGATGAAAGGACAGGTATCAAACTTTAGAGAACAAGGGAGAATTGCATCATTAGATATAGTTGATAGTACAGACTGAAGCCTGGGAACCTTCATGGGTAAGTGGACATTTGACCACCTGATAGCTGTCCATCTCATGAGGATAAGTCCCACCCTTATAAAATAGTTGACAAATAGAAATGTTAGTTATAGTCAATTTGCATGTTAGATACTTTCTTATTTTTTATGTAAAATGGATATATATAGAGAGTTGATGCTCAGAGAGAACAGACTGGAGAGATTAAACTAAAGAAACATGGAAATAGATGTAACGAGCTGGAAGTAATGAGAAACAATAAACATTGAACTAGAATTGAACTTGAGCTAATTTATCATTCCCAAGACTGTGCAGGACAGACGGTCACACAGGTAAAAGTTCATTACACTACACACTATGTACATATTACAACAAATATAAAGTGTTCACAAAATATATATTACTGTAAGTATTTTTTTAAACTGATGAGATATATACCTGTATTTGGTTTATGTCTCCTACACTATACACAGCTGGTTATAATCACTTCTAGGAAAGCACAAACATAGTAGCAACTGCTAATAATAGACAGTAACAAGTAAAACCCTGACTTTGTGTAGATATCATACACTGTAAAGTGACAGCAACACGGACGATGCCGCAGTGGAGTCATACATTACCATACATTACCATTTATCAATGTCACCAGTATTTTACCACCTTGGACAGAACAATGGAAACTGTCCATTGTCCGTCAGCTTCATATATATATATACACCAACTCCCATATTTTACCTGTGTTTTCACTGGTGTGATCTGTTACCTATAGCCCACTTTTACCTGATGTCTTGGCATGTAAGCATGGAATACCATATATAACATATCAAAATGTAGATAATGTTTTGCATAAATATATGTTTGATATAATGAATATTAATACATTTTTGTAATAGTGAGCCATCTGGAACATACATATATATGCATGTGTAATTTACATGAAATAATAATTAGAATCAAACAAGATTAAAGCATGATGTGTATTGTTCAATTAAATCCTATGGATGGAGGATGTGTTATTCCAAGTAAAGTCATTCTTTATGAAATAACACCATCACATTTAAAATGAGAACAATGGAGGAAATCACAATCAACTGTGATTTGTCATAAAATAAATATTTCCATTGTAAATCCCTAACAAGATAATCTATATAAACTAATAATACATATTTTCTGTTTTTTCTTGATTCTTATTGGCTAATCCTTAGTCTCGGGTTCACCCATATATAGCATATCTACCCAATCAGAACATGTTTCCGTTTGTTTCATAAAAAATGAAAGGGTCAACGCAGATGAAATTAAACTATCTTTGGTGTTTTGAACATAAAATCATAAATATTTACCTCTACTGTAATGTCACTTACAATTCCTATATTTTAACAAATTTTATTTTCTAAATTGAAACATTCATTTATATTTGTACATTCTGATACACACTTAATTAGTGACTTATTAGATACGCCCTATCGCAAGGAGGCAAATACACCAACATCCTCTCCAGCGCACATAAACACATGCACGCATACATACACATATGGAGGTACGTCCTAAGTCACATTATAGCAGTTAATTGGATGTTAAACAAAATATAACCAAACCTAATATACATGATCTACCATTGTGAACAGTTCATGCCTTAAAATCCTGACAGTTGGTGAAGTCACAATCATAATGAACCATAAATATGTACAAGTTCACTTATTTATATCAACAAGTGATCTTATCTTCAAATTGATAACCCCTAAGTTGCCTAAATACAACGTGCGTTTGACTCAGGTGAGACGACACCAACCAGTAATTCAACAGAGTTACCTCCTGTCTCTGTCAGTATGTGTTTGTGTATCTTATACAGACATGTATACATGTATATGTCACTTTCTGTGTTCTGTATATATGCTTGTCATGAGAGATCACTCTCCAAATATGTATGTAATATTATGTATTATATTTATGTATACCTATGAGTCATAAGGCCCCCGGAATAAACTTGAATTGAACAGGTGTGTAGATAAGAGATGATAGGTTTTGTTAGCGATAGAACAAAAGGTGTGAAGAAGAGCAATAAAAACCTGTAATGATGTCAAGTGTTGTACTATAAACATTATGTAGAAAGTTTAATGTACCGGCAAGGCCATCCACCCCAGAGTTTTTGCCCTCTCATCTTTACTGAACAATTGCATTCTTACACTTCAAATGTCTTACCGTAATTATCACACTGATCCCAATACATCTCCAGCACACACGCAGGCATACACACATAGATATGAGCCAGGTGGCAGAGGACTAATAGTTAGCGCCTGATAAGGCAGCTCCTATAAATTCCTCAAAATTGTATTGATTAATGTATATGTTAATTGTATTGATTGTGTAATTTGTATATCTCTTAACTGTAATGCGATTTAGAGTGGCTTATTCTAGCTAGATAGGACACTATATCAAATGTTGTATATTTGGTCTTGAGATAGAGACTTGGAAATTAGGTAGCAAGTTCAACCCACGCCTGTATCATCTAGAAATAGAGGCTTTAACATCATGATCAGTTATACCAGGTAATTATCATCTGGAGATAGCCAAGAAGCATAGACATCAGTCAACATCCATCTGTAAATCTGAACGCTGGGACATCGGTCAACATCTATCTGTAAATCTGAACGCTGGGACATCGGTCAACCTCCATCTGTAAATCTGAACGCTGGGACATCGGCCAACAGCCATCTGCAAATCTGAACGCTGGGACATCGGTCAACATCTATCTGTAAATCTAAACGCTGGGACATCGGTCAACATCCATCTGTCCATCTGAACGCTGGGACATCGGCCAACAGCCATCTGCAAATCTGAACGCTGGGACATCGGTCAACATCTATCTGTAAATCTGAACACTGGGACATCGGTCAACATCCATCTGTAAATCTAAATGCTGGGACATCGGTCAACATCTATCTGTAAATCTGAACGCTGGGACATCGGTCAACATCCATCTGTAAATCTAAACGCTAGGACATCGGTCAACATCTATCTGTAAATCTAAACGCTAGGACATCGGTCAACATCCATCTGTAAATCTAAACGCTGAACATCTGTCAACATCCATCTGTAAATCTAAACGCTAGGACATCGGTCAACATCCATCTGTAAATCTAAATGCTGGGACATCGGCCAACATCCATCTGTAAATCTAAACGCTGGGACATCGGTCAACATCTATCTGTAAATCTAAACGCTGGGACATCGGTCAACATCCATCTGTAAATCTAAACGCTGGGACATCGGTCAACATCCATCTGTAAATCTAAACGCTGGGACATCGGTCAACATCCATCTGTAAATCTAAACGCTGGGACATCGGTCAACATCCATCTGTAAATCTAAACGCTGGGACATCGGTCAACATCCATCTGTAAATCTAAACGCTGGGACATCGGTCAACATCCATCTGTAAATCTAAACGCTGGGACATCGGTCAACATCCATCTGTAAATCTAAACGCTGGGACATCGGTCAACATCCATCTGTAAATCTAAACGCTGGGACATCGGTCAACATCCATCTGTAAATCTAAACGCTGGGACATCGGTCAACATCCATCTGTAAATCTAAACGCTGGGACATCGGTCAACATCCATCTGTAAATCTAAACGCTGGGACATCGGTCAACATCCATCTGTAAATCTAAACGCTGGGACATCGGTCAACATCCATCTGTAAATCTAAACGCTGGGACATCGGTCAACATCCATCTGTAAATCTAAACGCTGGGACATCGGTCAACATCCATCTGTAAATCTAAACGCTGGGACATCGGTCAACATCCATCTGTAAATCTAAACGCTGGGACATCGGTCAACATCCATCTGTAAATCTAAACGCTGGGACATCGGTCAACATCCATCTGTAAATCTAAACGCTGGGACATCGGTCAACATCCATCTGTAAATCTAAACGCTGGGACATCGGTCAACATCCATCTGTAAATCTAAACGCTGGGACATCGGTCAACATCCATCTGTAAATCTAAACGCTGGGACATCGGTCAACATCCATCTGTAAATCTAAACGCTGGGACATCGGTCAACATCCATCTGTAAATCTAAACGCTGGGACATCGGTCAACATCCATCTGTAAATCTAAACGCTGGGACATCGGTCAACATCCATCTGTAAATCTAAACGCTGGGACATCGGTCAACATCCATCTGTAAATCTAAACGCTGGGACATCGGTCAACATCCATCTGTAAATCTAAACGCTGGGACATCGGTCAACATCCATCTGTAAATCTAAACGCTGGGACATCGGTCAACATCCATCTGTAAATCTAAACGCTGGGACATCGGTCAACATCCATCTGTAAATCTAAACGCTGGGACATCGGTCAACATCCATCTGTAAATCTAAACGCTGGGACATCGGTCAACATCCATCTGTAAATCTAAACGCTGGGACATCGGTCAACATCCATCTGTAAATCTAAACGCTGGGACATCGGTCAACATCCATCTGTAAATCTAAACGCTGGGACATCGGTCAACATCCATCTGTAAATCTAAACGCTGGGACATCGGTCAACATCCATCTGTAAATCTAAACGCTGGGACATCGGTCAACATCCATCTGTAAATCTAAACGCTGGGACATCGGTCAACATCCATCTGTAAATCTAAACGCTGGGACATCGGTCAACATCCATCTGTAAATCTAAACGCTGGGACATCGGTCAACATCCATCTGTAAATCTAAACGCTGGGACATCGGTCAACATCCATCTGTAAATCTAAACGCTGGGACATCGGTCAACATCCATCTGTAAATCTAAACGCTGGGACATCGGTCAACATCCATCTGTAAATCTAAACGCTGGGACATCGGTCAACATCCATCTGTAAATCTAAACGCTGGGACATCGGTCAACATCCATCTGTAAATCTAAACGCTGGGACATCGGTCAACATCCATCTGTAAATCTAAACGCTGGGACATCGGTCAACATCCATCTGTAAATCTAAATGCTGGGACATCGGTCAACATCCATCTGTAAATCTAAACGCTGGGACATCGGTCAACATCCATCTGTAAATCTAAACGCTGGGACATCGGTCAACATCCATCTGTAAATCTAAACTCTAGGACATCGGTCAACATCCATCTGTAAATCTAAATGCTGGGACATCGATCAACATCCATCTGTAAATCTAAACGCTGGGACATTGGTCGACATCCATCTGTAAATCTAAACGCTGGGACATCGGCCAACATCCATCTGTACATCTGAACGCTGGGACACCGGTCAACATCCATCTGTAAATCTGAACGCTGGGACATCGGTCAACATCCATCTGTAAATCTGAACGCTGGGACATTGGTCGACATTGATTGTAGCTTCTAATGTTTCTTGAAAAAGTAGCGAGGTACTTTTTGAATTCGACAATAGGAATATTCATCGCCGCTATGTACAAAATGTTCAGTGCATGCTGGCACTCGAACCAGAGTTCTTAGATTCATATTATTAGATGTAAGCCGAGGCTCTACAACAGAGCCAAATGACATTATCTATACAGATAGCCAAATCTAGAAAGGAGAGTAGACATCAATGTATAATGTAGGTATTTTACTTCTCTCCTTCCTTTTTTACAGGTCTTCTCCATATAGACCAACACAACCAAGCTAAATAAAGGGGTTAAATTTTCATCAAATGTTGACTTGTGCGCAGTTCAAAGAAAACGAATTAAATATTAAACAATTGGTGATGCAACCACAGAAAACAAGAAAATATGTTAACGCAAAGATTTACATGCCTCAACTATGGATTGAACAAGCAACCCCTCCCCCTCCCCCACCAACTTCCTATTTTGGCAGATACATGAAGGGTCTAGGGGTAAAGAGTACTCCTTCCCCTCAACCCCTCCAACCCCTGGCCTCTTTTGAGGTGAAAAATACAGCTTCTGAGGGGTTTTAACCACTACCACTCGTTCATATACTCCGCACAAGGCCTTGTTACCTTGTGACCTCCTTAACCCCAATTAAACCATGAGCAGTGAACCCCCAACCCCCGTCCTTTCATAAAATCAGCAAGCTATTAGATTTTTCCATTCGCTCCTGCGCTAGCATTGCAAGATGACTTTGACACAATTATATTATTACACCTCATCTCTATATAACAGCATTTCTGATTGGATTATATTAATCCAGAGACATATATCTGTAGTATAGCATGTCTCTGGATTGAGTACTGTGGCTTTTTATATGTCTCCGATTGATCATATGACGATAGGGAATAAATCATAGTCTTTCCCTTCCAGGCATCAGAAATCCCCATCATTTTTCCCTTACAAGCATGGCCATGGAGCACCTCAATCTAGCAAGACATACCACAACCATGTATACGTACCGAGATTTTGAATTAAAGTAGATGATATTATGGTGCCACATACACCTGATCCTCTGCAATTATGTTATTGTTCTATTTCAGTGCAACAAAGTATTGATTGAATGCCTAGATTAAGTTTGTTTTCTGCCCTCGTAAATCATGATTTATATTTAAGGAGGAAGGGCATTTGGTTTCCCTACAACATGGGCAATCAATGTACCTTATGTAGGTTTTTTAATCTTTAATATATATGTCTAGGCGTATATATAGCCACTTGTGTACTATATGTAAAACTACTTTGTGTTTAGCTATGGTTTGTTTAATACTACAACAAACTCATGCGTCACTAATTGATGTTGAACATACCATTCTTCAGTGTGTTTATTAACGCATGTTCATTTTGAAAGATTTGATATTATTGTTTGATTGCAATAATTTTTAGTCTAGGTAACTTTCATCTTTGATCATCGAAGCCATTGCCCTTTTAGTGTTTCTAATTCTTCGATAGTAAATAGACCAATGCTAATTGACCACAAGCATCTGGTTACCCTTTCACGTATACATTTTAAGGATATTTAGCATACAAGCGTTTGATAACGTTAAATAACGTATCAAACTTAAACTGGCAAAATAACAGACAATCTATACCTGTGAAGAGCAGCCTCTTCAGCCTCCGCGCACAAAGAAATGATGATGGCTTCATGGTTCAGGGGAAGTAAGTCTTAAAAACAATTCATAAGGTGACACACTATAATGTTGATTCTCAACGTTAGTCTGGGGTAACAGAAACGTCTCTGTCTTTGTCGCTTCGCTTATGAGGTCCGGCCAACTGGTCTGTTTACAATCAACCACCTGACCTTGCCGAAAATTATCCTATCAGCACATGTACAGGTACAGGTTCAATGACCCGTGAAGTCACCTGTTCTGCCGGAGCGGAGAGTAGGTTCGTCACCAACTCTTCGTCACTGTACCCAAATCGGAACACTTTTTAGATAAATATCAATGTTCTATCAGTTCCGATAATGTTTGTTAATTTTTCATAAAGAGATACTTTCCACTTTTCATTTCTATTACAATTTGATATTTCCGGCGCGTGGTCTATAAATAGAACGCGAATATTTATAATATAACTATTCTTAACTTCAAATTGCCCATGTAACGATAATCAGCAGCCAATAATTTTAAGCTTAATACAGTTTAATTGTCGTGAAAAGTATTGTCAAATGAAAACTGTATACATAATAGTACTTCTTTGCATTGAATCACAGTTTATTGGGCCGTTTTACCACAAGTGTCCCGATTTGGGTACAGTGACGGTAGCACAAACCTGTGGCAAACCAACAGGATTAAAATTAATGTAATAAACGATATTACAAGATAAGTTCAGTACTTCTGGAGAAGCTTTTATAGATTTTTTTGTAGATTTTTCTTCTACATTTAACCACGGACTAAACGATGTTGCATTATAACTTAATTCTGTGCAACGGATAAGATATTGTGTGTAAAATTAACTTAAGTATGTACATCATAATATAATATCTATACAATTAGGTATGTATTTCTTTAAACGTGTTGTAAATATAATTATATAATATGTGATAAAATGTTTACATACAGTTACAGCAGTAGTGTTTGGCGACTTTTGTTGAGTGTTTAATTGTAGTTCGATCCGTATCAGGCTATCTTGTTTGGATGCAAAACACAACAATTAAAGCTTAATTGAATTAAAACAAATTAAATAAGCTGCTATATTAGGACAAATGGAGGGAGAAAACAAACACCATCAAATGAATGATTATTGAATGGATCTTTTATAACGCCAAGAAAGTAATTTGTAGTTTTCGTTTGTCTGCGCACTGTTTAACAATTGAAACAGGAAGATACACTTAGCAGGCTGTTTCTAACCGTACATGCCCAATATGTACTACTGAAGTTGAAGATGAATACCATTTTGTTTTCATTTGTAAAGAATATGATTTCCTCCGACAAAAACTATTTAAACCGTATTACCGATGCAAGCCATCCATGTATAAACTTTTGAAATTACTTAGTACAGAAAATGTTACAGAACTGTATAAATTTGGGAATTTTTTGTGTAAAGCTATTGAAATTAGGTCACACCTCTTGTCTATGAAATGAGTGAATATACCTATTAGTGTATGGCTTGAACTTGACTTTGTATGACATTGCATTGTGCATAATACATGTAATGTAATATCAATAAGCTGTATTGCTTACGATAATAAAATAATTGAATTGAATTTCCCAATCATGATACCAGTCATCCTCGATACTCCAGGCGTGACGCTCACTTTCGCTCTCTGCACGTACGCTTTTAAGTAAGCATAACCCCAGGGCTCTCTGCACTTAACCCGGGGCCCTGGAGTATCGAGGATGGGTACCTGTAAGCCAATAGCTTATAATCATCGTGTCTAATGTTTGATACCTGTAACCACATGGATCAGAGAATTTGTTACAGCTATATTTGGACCTAAACTTAGGTGTTCAGAGTAATTTTACAAGTTTTAGGGGTTTAGATCAACTTTCGATTAAAATGCCATCCCTGATGATGCCTAGTAAGAGGTCAGAACATTGGGTGTGACATTTTTACCAAAAGTTGATTTAAACCCCTAAATTGTACAATTACCCTGAACACCTTAGTTTAGGTCCAAATGTGGCTGTAACAAATCATAAGGTCCTGTGTTTGATACCACTGAGTTTAACCGACAAAGTTTAATACCAAGTTACCAAGATTCAAGATTTTTTTATTGCGCACTGACACACAAAGTGTGTAACAAGAGGTCAAACAAAATAGCATCAATCTAATCAAACATGACGGAGAGAGTAGATAACACATCGACAGATTCAGCATTATTTAATGGACAGATTAAGCATTATTTCATGGACAGATTCAGCAATATTTCATAGACAGATTAAGCATTATTTCATGGACAGATTCAGCATTATTTCATGGACAGATTCAGCATTATTTCATGGACAGATTCAGCAATATTTCATAGATAGATTAAGCATTATTTCATGGACAGATTCAGGATTATTTCATGGACAGATTCAGCATTATTTCATAGATAGATTCAGCATTATTTCATGGTCAGATTCATCATCATCAAAGCAATCAGCATCATTTAATACATGTGAAACAGTAAGATTATACATCATTATTTCATACATGTGAAACAGTAAGATTATACATCATTATTTCATACATGTGAAACAGTAAGATTACACATCATTATTTCATACATGTGAAACAGTAAGATTACACATCATTATTTCATACATGTGAAACAGTAAGATTACACATCATTATTTCATACATGTGAAACAGTAAGATTACACATCATTATTTCATACATGTGAAACAGTAAGATTACACATCATTATTTCATACATGTGAAACAGTAAGATTACACATCATTATTTCATACATGTGAAACAGTAAGATTACACATCATTAGTTCACACATGTGAAACAGTAAGATTACACATCATTATTTCATACATGTGAAACAGTAAGATTACACATCATTATTTCACACATGTGAAACAGTAAGATTACACATCATTATTTCACACATGTGAAACAGTAAGATTACACATCATTATTTCATACATGAGAAACAGTAAGATCAACATCATTATTTCATACACGAGAAACAGTAAGATTACACATCATTATTTCATACATGAGAAACAGTAAGATTATACATGAACAGATTTACATTATTTCACACATGTAGAATACATGTACATGTGAACAGATTCAGCATTATTTCACACGAGTGAGAGTAGATTACACATGAAAAGATTCAGCATTATTTCATGCATGTGAAACAGTGAGACTATACATGAACGGATTAATCAGTATTGTTAAATACACAATTTTCACAGCAAATTATCTTCAGATTTGCTATAATGCAAAGTATAGTATTTTTGACATACTGATTTATTTCAATTGTTATTTTTTATAATTATTTGCAGTTTTACAAGAAATGTACTAACCCTTATGATTAATCGTTTGTTACATATTGTAAACATTCCTTTCATTTGATTGGCATTTGGGTTCGTGTCATAATATGTTGGAATACATTTTTTCCTTATCTGGCGTATGGATTCTTGTTGACATTTTAACAAATAATGAAATTCATCTCCTGTTTCATTTTTATTACACAAAGTACATTCTCTTTCCTCTCGAGGAATTCCCATCCAACGGCCAGTTTCTAGGGGCAGTGGGAAGTTTGACGAGCGAAATTTGCAAAACACAACACGATCCCTCTTGTATGTCAACCCTAGATCATTTAGTGTAGTTTTGATAAAATTCAGCCACTTCGAGTGAAATGCGCCCGTTTCGTGCATGTATAATATTATATAACTGACTCGATACTTTACCGTTTTCTGTTATTAGTTTGTGCCAAGATAAAATCATTCTACTTTTAATAGTATTTTCTAAAGGAAAACTTTCCGATCCTCCATATACGATATAATTAAGCGTAGATTTTCTTAAATTGAGAACGTTTTTTTTTTTTTTATTATTAATTCAAGATGTATCGTTTCCAGGAGGGTAATATTTTCGAATCCCCATATCTCTGACGCGTATAACAGTATAGGCAATATTAATGTTTCAAAAAGTTCAAACTGTAGGTCTGATTTTCCTATATAAAGCACATAATGCTTTCTAGGCTTGATTAGCTAGTTTCTTTTTCGCCTTACCAAAGTTTCCAGCATAGTTAAACAATAACCCAAGGTACGGATAAGAATCTATTTCAATTTCTTGAATAAATGTACTATTGATTTTCGATTTTCGTTTCGAAAAGACAACTATTTTAGATTTATTTGTATTAACATGTAATTTCCATATTTTACAATAATCGCCGAATACATCTAAAGCTTTCTGTAGACCCTCGGGTGATTCTGCAAGTACAACAGTCATTTTGACTAAGATTATCAATATCTTGGAGACATTTCGCCTCATTATTAATCAGGAACTCCTCTAGATCATTCAAGTAGATCGAAAATGGCGATACATTTTGTAACTAACAAAATTAGTTGGCTTCCTCCTACCCGACATTTCCTTTCGACGGGTCTCCTTGTGCACCGCTTTTATATGACATTAGATGTTACAAAAAAATACAGAAAAATAAACACGGAATACAGATAAAAAAAGTTGATAATTGGATAAAAACTGCAGTGACTGAACATTGTTTATAATTTTCAGAAACATTCCATTACACTCCCCTACACTTTTGTGTTATTATTCTTTTGAGGAGACATGGTAAATACATAATAAGAGTACTTTTTTAAGTAAATAGGTGGTCATTATAAGCTATCCTTGGCTGATACCATATTTTTTTTGAAAAATTATAATGATGTTAAGCGTCGATGGGATGGAGATGTAAATTTAAATGGCGGTAAAGTCAATGCTATATAAGCATCAGTTCTCATTCGAACTAAATTAAGGCATTTGATTTGTGATAGGAGTGTTAACCATATCCGCGATATATTTCGTGCATTACCGTGTATTGGCACCACGTCTCGTGACCGTGACGGTGGCGCCCCGCATTTGTACCGACGTCACCCAAAGGCGGAAGTAAAGTCATCCGGTCCGATGTGTAACCTGTCACTCATCAATCCATCAAGTTAGAGGCGGGTAGAATCTAGGGCACCAAAGGGGAAATCACAAAGAAAAAATAATAAAATCAAGGTTTATAAGGTCTGTATAAAAATTCAAAAATAATAATTCTTCCACAAAATTTATTAACAATTTACCAATATGCAAAAAAAAGAAATCCTTTTAAAATGAGCCTTTTCTCTCCTGCAATTGTCCAATATAAAAACGTTCATTTGATGACTGTATGTGCCTGAATGACGTCCGTGAGCCCCTTCGAGTTACCCGGAACCATCAGCAATGTATATATCTCCTGTAACACTGCGTAGCTGATTGGGAGCTATAGTCTGTATTGAAAAGTCGGGGCTGGTCCTCGGCGAAACACAAATGTGGAAATACAAGGGATTTTATACGAAAAACAATACTTTGTGATAAACTATGAATAAGTTTTGTATCTGTGTGGTTCTGGTGGCAACGGTGCTGGTCGCTGTACAAGCCTACAGTACCGGAGTACCCAGGAAAGGATGTAACTTAAAGAAACCATACCATATAAGGAGAAATTTTACAGACTGGAATTGGGAATATGCTCCTCAATTTTCGACGCCACCGTTTCGTATATTAACAAACACAACAGTTATAAAACCAGGGGATGCAGTGGAAGGTTGGTACTTAACTTCTGTTTCCAGCCAGAAAAAAAATCTTTTTATAAAAGAAATTACTGTCTGTTCACTGACTTACTTCTTCTTAAACAGCAAAAGTGCGATGTGTCCCGTAGTTATACAATTGAGAAACTGGGATATCTTTATTTCAACTTAATTTTCATATTCGAACACAGCAATAAACGAGATCTAGTCTTGTGATCAGTATCGATACTAACCTATGTTAAATACCATCTCAGTGTAATATTTAAGTATTATGAATGCTTAATTACTGGACATAGGCAAGCGCAGCACGCTAGCGCTATATATTGGTTTTGCCTCTGTTTATGAACTGAAAACAGTTCAATACTTATATTTACCATTTTTGGAATATGTTTATCTCATTGAAGATTTACCTTATTCAGTATTTAGATCATATACTGTATAACATCTTAAATGCTTGATGAATGTTCAGGGAAGTTCAGTGTTATCCAACGTAACAATTATGACGTCATTAAATGACTGATGGCATTCATAGCCTAATGAATGCCATCTGAATGTGATATTAATGGTTATATATTGAAACTGCCATACGAAGATAAATAAAGGATGATCTTTTATACGCAGAATATGATATACGTAGCTGGCAATGCCGTTAAAGAAGCAATACTTATATAACTCATATGTAGTGTACTTTGTAAAACGAGGCTAATTTTAAAACTAAAACAAAAAACAAAAGAAGAAGAATAAATAAAAAAATAAAAATTGCCACTGAAAGTTCCGAAATATTTCATAATGGCTTAATAATATTCCACAGTGACGTCACAAAACAGTCACAAACGGTCGTGTTGCGTCATCATACATACACCAATGTGTACGTGTAGCGTCATCATACCTACACCAATATGAACGTGTAGCGTCCTCATACTTTCATCGACGTGTAGCGTCACCTAGCATACCCATAACGATATATTACGTCATCATACCAACACCGGCGTTCAGCGTCATCATACCCACAACGGCGTGTAACTTCATCACACCAACACCAACGTTCAGCGTCATAATTCCCACACCGGCGTTCAGCGTCATCATATCCACACATACGTTAAGCGCCATCATACCCACACTAACTAGTTATGTCAACATCCCCACACAGACATGTTGGATCTATTACTATTGTTATCAGCGTTTTATTATTGAGCTTTGCATACCGATGTGGAGCATCATATCAAGGACTGTTATATTGTGACGTCACATTAAGAAAACGTCAGAGCGTCTGTGACTATGTTCATTTTTGTTATTTTCCACTCAAAATCCTGCTCTTTAATCGGTCTGTTTGATGTGAAAATAACAAAACTTATGAATATTCATAGTTGAGAAACATCAGTATGAATTTCACTGTGAAACCTAATGTTTTCACATGTGAAAAATATTATGAATTATTTACTAAGCACAACGACGCGTAGCGTTACATTATGATACTACACACCGACATGTGGAACTATAATTTATTGCTATCCACACTTGCATTTCAAAATCATTTATCTGAAAATATACTACAAACAAAGGCACGCAAATCACAACTTCTGAAAAAACGTGCGTATTTTAAAAATGACGACAAAAATTGTTTCAAAACAATCAATGATATCGTCGCAATGATAACGTCGGTCAGAACTTGTTGACTGATTAATATGACGTTGAATGAGTAAACGTCACTTCCTGTGGACAGGGAACTCTGATGATTTATATATGACGTTGAATGTGTGCAAGTCACTGCTTTTGGTAGGATATAACGGTGAGTTTCTGTGATGTTTAATGAGGAAACGTTATCACTTGTTGTGGTCAGAGTTTTCCAGTGAGTTGATATGACGTGGAATTAGTATACGTAACTTCCTGTGGATAGGGATTTCTGATGAGTTATATATGATGTTGAATGTGTGCAAGTCACTGCTTTTAGCAGGAGATACCGGTGAGTTTCTGTGACGTTTATTGAGGAAACCTAATCACTACCTGTGGACAGATAATTCTGATGAGGTAAATAGGACCTTGAAGGAATTCACGTCACTGCTTTTGGCAGGAGAAATAGGTAAGTTTCTGTGGCGTTTGATGAGGAAACGTCACCACCTCTTGTAGTCAGTGATTTCCGCTGAGTTGATATGACGTTGGTTAAGTAAACGTCATTGCTTTATGGACAATGCATTTCAGTGGGCTGGTATGACGTTTACAGGTAATACGTCACTGGTTTTGGAATTCCATTGAGTTGGTATGACGTTGAGTGAAAATACTGTTCCCGCCCACTGCTCGTAGGCTGGAACGGACAAAGATGACGGGCTCTTGTCCTGACTTTCTGGCCTAGTCCACATGGGGATCTATGACTCATTGCAGTTCCATCCAAACTTCTTTAAATCAGCTTATTTTAAGTCACCCTTTCGACACATGTTTCATTCACATTGTTGTACTTTTAGCCCTATTGACCATTATATGAACTACACTAACGGATACTTTCAGCATTTACGCATCACTGTCCCATTGTCTTCCAGCATTTGGCTTTTTCAATTTATCTTTTATCTAGATTTTTTTATTTTATTTATTTTTTTAACATATTTAAGCCTCCATATACCAATTGTTTACCTATACTAATACACAATACCAGATTACAGGTGTCGTCAATCAATCAATCAATCGATCGATCGTGTGACGTCAGAGCCGTAGGCTAGGATAACAAACTAGGCGACACTATCTTATCTGTTTGCACCCAGCCGCGGCACGTTGTACGTACTACGTATGACTGTCCAGTTTGACCTCGGGTGACCTCCACATACATCACGGGTGGCCAATGTTCGTATGCAAAGATAGTTCATGTATTACTGAAGTATATTATCAGTTAGAGGTCATTCTGGATTGATCTCGTTACAAATAGGACACTACATTATACTTACATTGACACAATTTTTTAATTATTGGCACGTGATTCCACACTAGACGGTGTCCTGGTGCAGCACTCGTGGACAATGTAATGCCGACAATCATAATATACAAATGTATGTTCTTATACAGATCTGATGTGCCATATCAACGTGCTAAGGTAGAATTCTACCTATACAAAGATTCACAGTGTCACACAGATACAGATACAGTACAATACGGTTTTTAATAATCGTAAATGAAATATAAGATTTAAAGTCATTACATCTATATTATGAAATAATACAAAATGCATCCACTAATGCTAAGTCCCCGATTTAATCCTTAATTAGACGTTATACAAAAACCCTGTTTAAAATACATTTTACCTTACCTACAACTTTCTATAAATCATAACCAATTAAAAATTCATAAATTTTCTTCTCTTGCTTAAAGCATAATAACTGCTTCCGCTGAGTCAGTGCCTCCATAAAGTCGCTGCCTCGTGTATTCTGGAGCGAAGACACTTTAAGAAAAGGGATTACGTGACACTCTATGATAGTGAATGGAGCGTTGCATTTCGACGAGAATGTTCTGTTGCATTTTGTTTGGGAAAATTGCGAAAACTATGCCCTTGAATATCGAAATTCCGCCATCTTGGCTCCGTATCCATTGTCTCCATTTTGACGTCATAAGATATTCTGGAAGTCCGTGACGTCATTTCATAATCATAATTATTGCGACGTTTTGAGATTTGAAGCAGTATATCGTGATCATATAACGACGTATACATTTGCATAATAATTGATATGGGGCATTAGTGACGTCATTAGTGACGTCACTGAATATTGTCGGTGCAATCGGTCCACCCGGAAACGAGGCGGTAAAATAGTAACCGCAGTCGTTAAAGGGATCTTTGCATATAAACTTTACCATAAGTGAGTTGAAGAGTAACAAGTTGTCTCAATCTAACACATTATATAATATTATTGATGAAAGGAAATGCTTCCGTTGGGAATTTCTATTGTCAAACCATCGATACTTCGTATAAACATTAGATAGGGAAACAAAAAATACATAATACAATGTATATCTTATTATAAAGTCATTATGTGTTGACCAACATATCACGGTCTGCAAAATTCTGATTTGTGTGACAATCGACCGATTCAAGCGTAGCTTTCTATTGTGCTCATTTTCAGTACTAGTATATAGCCAGCCTATACAGTAGACTAACGTACTTAACTGTAAACCGCGTTAGAAGTAGGCCACTGCTACAAATCTTGTTATAAAACCGCGGTGACAGAATCAGTTGTTGTTGTTAAATCCTACAGCAAAATTAGTCGTAGCTACTGTTATATTCTATAACCGAGTAAGCAGTAGACACATGTTCTGGTCTTATATCCTATAACCAAGTTAGCAGTAGCTCCTGTTATATCCTATAACCGAGTTAGCAGTAGCTACATACTGTTTTTTTTTATATCTTATAACCGCGATGTTACCTGATGTCGGTCATATCCTATAGAAACACCAACAGTAGCTCCATGTACAGTTGGCAAATTGTATAACCGTACACGTACTGCACTGTTTGTATATTGTATAACCACGTTAGTAGGAGCTACTGTTGTTCATTTTTAACCGCGTTATCAGTAACTACATGTACTGTTATTTGTTAACCGGTTAGCAGTAGCTACATGTACTGTTGTAATTTGTTAACCGGTGAGCAGTAGCTACATGTACTGTTGTAATTTGTTAACCGATTAGCAGTAGCTACATGTACATGTACTGTTGTTATTTGTTAACCGGTGAGCAGTATGTACATGTACTGTTGTTATTTGTTAACCACGTTAGCAGTAGCTACATGTACTGTTGTTATTTGTTAACCGGTTAGCAGTAGCTAAATGTATTGTTGTCATTTGTTAATCGGTAAGCAGTAGCTACATGTACTGTTGTTATTTGTTAACTGGTGAGCAGTAGCTACATGTCCTGTTGTCATTTGTTAACTGGTGAGCAGTAGCTACATGTACTGTTGTCATTTTGTTAACCGGTTAGCAGTAGCTACATGTAATGTTGTTATTTGTTAACCGGTTAGCAGTAGCTAAATGTATTGTTGTCATTTGTTAATCGGTAAGCAGTAGCTACATGTACTGTTGTTATTTGTTCACCGGTTAGCAGTAGCTACATGTACTGTTGTTATTTGTCAACCGGTGAGCAGTAGCTAAATGTATTGTTGTCATTGGTTAACCGGTAAGCAGTAGCTACATGTACTGATGTACTGTTGTCATTTGTTAACCGGTGAGCAGTAGCTACATGTACTGTTTGTCATTTGTTAACTGGTGAGCAGTAGCTACATGTACTGTTGTCATTTGTTTACCGGTGAGCAGTAGCTACATGTCCTGTTGTTATTTGTTAACCGGTGAGCAGTAGCTAAATGTATTGTTGTTATTTGTTAACCGGTAAGCAGTAGCTACATGTACTGATGTACTGTTGTCATTTGTTAACCGGTGAGCAGTAGCTACATGTACTGTTTGTCATTTGTTAACTGGTGAGCAGTAGCTACATGTACTGTTGTTATTTGTTAATCGGTTAGCAATAGCTACATGTACTGTTGTCAATTGTTTACCGGTGAGCAGTAGCTACATGTACTTGTACTGTTATTTGTTAACCGGTTAGCAGTAGCTACATGTAATGTTGTTATTTGTTAACCGGTTAGCAGTATCTACATGTACTGTTGTTATTTGTTAACCGGTTAGCAATAGCTACATGTACTGTTGTCAATTGTTTACCGGTGAGCAGTAGCTACATGTACTTGTACTGTTATTTGTTAACCGGTTAGCAGTAGCTACATGAACTGTTGTTATTTGTTAACCGGTGAGCAGTAGCTACATGGACTGTTGTCATTTTGTTAACCGGTTAGCAGTAGCTACATGTACTGTTATTTGTTAACCGGTTAGCAGTAGCTACATGCACTGTTGTCATTTGTTAACCGGTGAGCAGTAGCTACATGTAATGTTGTTATTTGTTAACCGGTTAGCAGTATCTACATGTACTGTTGTTATTTGTTAACCGGTGAGCAGGATGTACATGTACTGTTGTTATTTGTTAACCACGTTAGCAGTAGCTACATGTACTGTTATTATTTGTTAACCGGTTAGCAGTAGCTACATGAACTGTTGTTATTTGTTAACCGGTTAGGCGTAGCTACATGCACTGTTGTCATTTGTTAACCGGTGAGCAGTAGCTACATGTACTGTTTGTCATTTGTTAACTGGTGAGCAGTAGCTACATGTCCTGTTGTCATTTGTTAACTGGTGAGCAGTAGCTACATGTACTGTTGTTATTTGTTAACCGGTGAGCAGTAGCTAAATGTATTGTTGTCATTTGTTAACCGGTAAGCAGTAGCTACATGTACTGTTGTTATTTGTTAACTGGTGAGCAGTAGCTACATGTACTTGTACTGTTATTTGTTAACCGGTTAGCAGTAGCTACATGAACTGTTGTAATTTGTTTGCCGGTGAGCAGAAGCTACATGTACTGTTGTTATTTGTTAACCGGAGAGCAGTAGCTACATGTACTGATGTAATTTGTTAACCGATTAGCAGTAGCTACATGTACATGTACTGTTGTTATTTGTTACCCGGTGAGCAATAGCTACATGTACTGTTTTCATTTGTTAACCGGTAAGCAGTAGCTACATGTACTGTTGGTATTTGTTAACCGGTGAGCAGGAGCTACATGTACTGGTGTAATTTGTTAACCGGTGAGCAGGAGCTACATGTACTGGTGTAATTTGTTAACCGGTGAGCAGAAGCTACATGTACTGTTGTAATTTGTTAACTGGTGAGCAGTAGCTACATGTACTGATGTAATTTGTTAACCGATTAGCAGTAGCTACATGTACATGTACTGTTGTTATTTGTTAACCGGTTAGCAAATTTGTTAACCGGTGAGCAGTAGCTACATGTACTGTTGTAATTTGTTTGCCGGTGAGCAGAAGCTACATGTACTGTTGTAATTTGTTAACCGGTGAGCAGTAGCTACATGTACTGTTGTAATTTGTTAACCGGTGAGCAGTAGCTACATGTACTGTTGTCATTTGTTAACCGGTGAGCAGTAGCTACATGTACTGTTGTCATTTGTTAACCGGTGAGCAGTAGCTACATGTACTGTTGTAATTTGTTAACTGGTGAGCAGTAGCTACATGTAATGTTGTTATTTGTTAACCGGTGAGCAGTAGCTACATGTACTGTTGTAATTTGTTAACTGGTGAGCAGTAGCTACATGTAATGTTGTTATTTGTTAACCGGTGAGCAGTAGCTAAATGTACTGTTGTCATTTGTTAACCGGTGAGCAGTAGCTAAATGTATTGTTGTCATTTGTTAACCGGTGAGCAGTAGCTACACGTACTGTTGTAATTTGTTAACCGGTGAGCAGTAGCTACATGTACTATTGTAATTTGTTAACCGGTGAGCAGTAGCTACATGTACTGTTGTCATTTTGTTAACCGGTTAGCAGTAGCTATATGTACTATTATTATTTTTTAACCGCGTTAGCAGTAGCTACATGTACTGTTATTAATTTTTAACCGTGTCAGCTGTAGCTACATTTACTGTGATTAATTTTTTAAGTGCGTCAGCAGTAGATTCATGTGCATGTACTGTTGTTTTGTTCTTTCAGCAGCTCACTGCTATAAATCACAAATTGTGATTGTAATATATCAATACGTAAACAACAACCCGTCGTTGTTGTCATATTCACAAAACCTTTGCTACTGTTGTTCCCATGTCAAATAATGGAAGTATCAGTTTTATCATCTATAATCGATTACGCATTGGTAACAGTTGATGTGTAACCAGTTGGAACTGTTGTGTCATTGGAAACAAATGTTACTAGTTTGCGCTCGAAGGTATTGTTGTTTTGATTTCATTAGTAGTTTTATCGACGCACTTTGTTGCCTTTTTAATGTAGCAGATAGCGAGTTTTAAAGGATGTCTGGTATTACATAGCCATGTTTGCAACGGTTTGTTATTTCGGGTCGAAAAAGCGGTTTGTCTCGAAACTGAAATTGAGTGTGAATACATGTACACATTTTTAAACACGATATTTATTCCTCTGTCAATAGTTACGATTTCCCCGAAGACGAAACAAGATGCCTTTAAAGGCTTCTTCCTCCAAGTGGTTCCAGAGAAGAGTCTTTTCGACGTCCCGCGCGGGAGGTGGACAGCTGACGGAATGGCCCGCCCTTTCCGATGTCAAATGGTCGACGGTGACAGCATCAGTCACGCGAACAGCAGGTGGAAGGGCAACATCACCATGATCTGGCACGCGCCAACAGACTTCGATGACTTACAGGACAACCTAGTAGTTAGGTGTGTGTACATGGTTACCATGGTGATTCATACATTACTTGTCTTGTTCCTGAAAATTCAACCAATGTTGGCCCTCTTATTTAGTGGGTTTTTTTAAATTCGGGGAACGTATTCGGCATACATAACTTCATGATTATAGTTACCACAAGTGGTGTTTATATCAATTGCTACTTTGTAAGTTTATATATATATATAAACATACAAATCGAATATCTATATATACAAATATATGTACCTCTTTCCCCATATATCTTTGGAAGTAATACGCATCCAACCAACATTTGTTTTCTCGGATCCAATGCCCATATTGGAGCATACTATCGTTAATTTACTTAAAAGACCTATATTCCTTTCTTCAGGTTTTGCTTAATTTAGGTTATTTTTGCAATTTCGGTTTATTTACGGCTTTTGACTTATGATAAACGTTTGACGACATTCCACTTCCGGTGTACAATAGCGACTCTGCCTGTGTACAATTATCCTGCTTTTCCTTACAGGGGCTCCATTGTCCGAACGTATGACGAATACTGGGAGAGTGTCCAGTCCAAGCCGTTGATGATAGATCGTAAGTTTATTGTTTGGTCATGTCTAGATTTCCTAAACATTGTTTTACTAGTACTTGAGATTTTTTTCCCGATTTGGTCCAGCTTTCTATGATGACCTAAATGGTGCTCACCTGGACGTATCAACTCCTAACCTGTCCAAATACAGAAAACAATTCTCTGTGAATTGTTTTTTTTTATACAGAAGTCTGATCAGATGATAGAACAATCTTTTTCATAACTTATTAAGGTGTGATCGGTTTTAGTTCAAGTTACAGCCAGAAAAAATGCATAATCTTTGTTAGCTCAGATTTACTTTTGATCACGTCACATACGTCCGCCTACATGCATTGTTGTACCCTTACCAAAGCCTTGGGAAATATATGCGGTCTAGGGGATTCAAAAAAAATAATGCTATATCCCTCACCCAGACATTAACAATAAAGTGTTACAATAATGATTTAAAATTATCACAAATGATATCGTGATTGATTAAACAACAAAACTTCACTAGTGTCATATTTGTTGAACGTCGTTGATGTTTTTGTTTCAGAAATTAAAGACTCGCAGGCCAAAAGTGATCTACTTGCCCAGCTTGCAAAAGAGTTCGGGAGTGACAAAGCAGGACAGCTGTTGGCTATCTTAGAGGTTAAGGTCATGGAGGACGACTTGGCGGGAATAACCTCTACCTCCGTAACAGACAATAGTGCCACAAGTGGCGCAACGGGTGGTACTGGTGGTACCGGTGGTACCGGTGGTACCGGTGGTACCGGTGGCGCGACTGGTGTGGCCACCACCATGGCTCCCCCGGCTACCACTCCTCCACCACCATCAACCAACGTAAACAATAAGATCGAAGAGGTAGCTGATGGAGATGAAGGATTGCTGTCAAAGGTTACTGGTCTTGTCAAAAACCCTATGATCCTAAGCACTGTGAAGAGTCTGATGGGCGGCGGCAGCGACAGTGGAGGCGGAGGGCTAGGCGGACTGGCCAGTCTGGCAGGGAGCGTTCTTGGCGGAGGAGGAGGTGGTGGTTCTGGTGGTCTTATTTCGAGCATGCTCGGAGGCGGTGGAGGTGGAGGACTACTGTCCAGCATGCTCGGTGGAGGCGGTGGAATGGGCGGACTGACCAGCTTGATTCCAATGCTTGGGGCCGGTAAGATGTTGTCTGGCATGCTTGGAGGGGGAGGAAGTGACCGAGGCGGAGGCGGGGGATTTCTTTCTTCTCTTCTCGGAGGTGGTAGCAGCAGAAAAAATAACGACGATATGTTTGGAGGTATGGGAGGTATGTCAGGAGGTATGCCAGGAGGTATGTACGTCGGACAGCAAGGCATGATGGGACGACCTTCCCAAGGTATGAATGGAATGATGGGATCGGGAGGAGGCGCCGGGGGAGGAGCGTCATCTGGCGGAAACCCCCTAGCAAGCATATTGGGTAATCCTGGCGCAATGGCTGGTATATCTTCCATGTTACAAAACATGGGAGGATCCCCGACAGGAGGGAGCGCGGGAGGAGGAGGTGGCGGAGGCGGTGGAAGTCTCATGAACATGCTTGGGATATCGGACCCATCAGGTGGAGGAGATTTAAGTCGGCCCAGACCGGAACTCTTAGAAAATCCACAGGGCACTAAAGCCCAACCAGGTCCTAACGCCGGCCTGAATAACGCGCTCTCTCAGGTCATGGGAATGCTGGGAGGATCCAGTGGATCTGGAGGTCCATCCAATGGTGGCTCCTCTCAATGGCAGAACCAAAACCAGCAATATCAACAGGGAGGATATTATCCCCAACAGCAGCAGTATCCACAGGACCAATATTACAATCAGAATCAACAGTACCAACAAGGCCAGTACTATCCACAAAACAATCAACAAGGCGGAAATCAATTGAGTAACCAAGGGCAACAAAATGGATTTGGCAGTAGTCAGTGGGGCAATCAAGGACAACAGAGTGGAAATAATGGAAATCAGTGGGGTAACCAAGGATTTAACGGTAACCAAATGAGTAACCAAGGAAACCAAGGATCAAACGGAAATCAGTGGGGAAACCAAGGATCTAACGGTAATCAGTGGGGTAACCAGGGAAACCAAGGATCTAACGGAAATCAGTGGAGTAACCAAGGAAACCAAGGACCTGGGGGAAATCAGTGGAGTAACCAAGGAAACCAGGGACCTGGCGGAAATCAGTGGAGTAACCAAGGAAACCAGGGACCTGGCGGAAATCAGTTGAGTAACCAAGGAAACCAGGGACCTGGCGGAAATCAGTGGAGTAACCAAGGAAACCAGGGACCTGGCGGAAATCAGTGGAGTAACCAAGGAAACCAGGGACCTGGCGGAAATCAGTGGAGTGACCAAGGAAACCAGGGACCTGGCGGAAATCAGTGGAGTAACCAGGGAAATCAAGGATTTAACGGAAATCAGTGGGGTAGCCAAGGAAACCAGGGATCTAATGGAAATCAATGGAATAACCAGGGACCACCCCCTGGAAATCAGGTCAACAACGAACAACAAAACGGCTTCGGTGATCTTCAATTCAACAATCAAGGTCAGTCAAACCAAAATGGGTTCCAACCACCAAATGGTAACGACATGTTCGCTCCACCTCCATCCGGTAATGGATTTGGATTAGGAGGAAACACTGGTGCTTCTGGCCCAGCTGTGCAGCCACCAAACTCACAGGGCCCACCCCCACCTTCTGGTGGTGGAAGTGGTTTCCCTCCAGGAGGTGCACTGGACAACCTCCTCAATAACGGTGGTTCTCCTGGAGGTGGATTGGACCTGAATGGACTCTTGGGAGGTGGACTCGGCAACATTTTAGGAGGAGGATCGGCCGGCGGGGGCGGCGGGGGTGGCGGCGNTCAGACGGACAACTAGACATGGGGAGTATACAGAATCTCATTAGCGACCCTGGAGTGATGAACCAAGTGAGCGGAATGCTGGAGTCACTAGGGGGAGCTGGTGGGGGAGCCGGGGGATTAGGTGATATGCTTGGGGGACTCATGGGAGAAGACGGGGGAGGCCTGCAGGACATGTTGGGAGGACTTATGGGAGAGGATGGGGGCGGGCTGCAGGATATGCTTGGAGGCCTGATGGGAGGGGGAGGAGGCGGAGGAGGAGGTGGCGGTATGGATTTAAGTAGTATCATGGGAATGTTAGGATAAAACTAAGCGATCCGATATTCCATTCAAAAGAGCAGAAGTTTTAGTCTACATTGGATCCATGAAATCTGACAGCCACTTATACGGTCACATACTTAGATTGTCACACTGCACATAACAAAGGGAGGGCCAATCGGACAACTCTTTTAGTAAAGTTGAACTGTGCAACCCATTTCTATATCGAACAATATACTAATAAGATATTTGTTGATTTTACGAAAAATTATTTGATAGTTCAATAAGAAATTTTACGAATGACCGGTTAATTGTTTCTCAAATTGATAACAACATAGCAAGACAAAAGATAAAACCATACACATAACGGCAGAAGATATATTAGAAACGTGATTATTGTTTTATAGTCGTTTTTGTATTAAGGTAGAGAGTCCCATCGCAGAGACGTGCTGTATCTCCAACGAAGAAGAGTTCCAATCTGTTCCAATTTTCTGACTCGGAGTTGCTTCCCTTTTTTCTCTCGCAAAGAAATATATACGCATAATATTATTTTTTCATAAAAAAATCTCCGCTTTAGTAATTTGAACCCCGACCTTCTCGATAATAAAGCAGGGAGACACTAAGGCCCGCAATCTATATTGACCTTGTTAGGAACTTAGAGGTATCAATATACATTTTACGATAAATATCTGTTCAATGCCTTTATACGATAGATAATGTTTGGCCTCTCTACCTTAATTATATTACTTTTGATAATAAGTAGGTCTCCGGACTTAGGTGTTTGTATCCACAGTGGACAACACATATCCGAATATACACTAGCGTTTACAATCTTGCAAAGGTCGTATAATTTATTCATTTTTTTTCTATTTCTACTTTGTTATTTCTTTGTTTTGAAGTTTGACCGTCTGACACAAGATACGTGTACATAACTCCTATTATTTATTTTTACAAATAAAAAAAATCGCAAAGCTTAATTAATAAAACGTGTTGTTGATATTCTTTTATTTAACGATCCCCGTCCCACCGAATGACTTATAGAATCTTCCCCTACCTTGAGGGTGTGAAAGAGAAAGGTTTAACCCGAGGGATGGTATTCTTGATTGTCTTACCCGAGTCTTTGACGATTTTTCCAGAATATCATCCCGAGGTTTGGTCATTTCTCTGTCACACCCTAAAAGTAGGGGATGATTGATTTTCTCCCATCCTGTATCACTCACAAATCAGCGATCATTGCATGAAATATGAGCGTTAATTGCATGTTTCCCAGCAAAGCCAGAGTTGTCGTCCATGGTCTGGTACTGTTGACTTGACGTCGATGCATTGGTGACGTGTCGTCATACTATTGTTATGACTTAGATCTGTATCAGGCTATCACCCCCTAGGGGTGGCAAGCTGTGCTTTCCCGGCTTGATAGGGAGTCACACCCGTGAAAAGTGGAAGAAAATGCAATGGATATTTCCGTTGTAGTTTTTCATACATACAGGGCCCTCTCCCCTTAAGGTATAGGTGCCACTCCAGTTATAATCTCGAAGAAGAGTTCCACTTTTTTTACAATGGAATATTCTCATTTCTGTGTAAAAAATGGAACAACCAAAAGGATTGTTTTCTGACTTCGAGTAACTTACCTGCAGTTTTGTTGGGAGGTGAAACTTTAAAACCAGCTAAGGTCACATTTTACAATGGGAGGTGACACTTTAAAACCAGAGGTGACACTTTACAACAGGAGGTCACACTTTACAACAGGAGGTGACACTTTACAACAGGAGGTGACACTTTACAACAGGTGGTCACACTTTACAACAGGAGGTCACACTTTACAACAGGAGGTCACACTTTACAACAGGAGGTCACACTTTACAACAGGAGGTGACACTTTACAACATGAGGTCACACTTTACAACAGGAGGTGACACTTTACAACAAGAGGTGACACTTTACAACAGGAGGTGACACTTAACAACAGGAGGTGTCACTTTACAACAGGAGGTTACACTTTACAACAGGAGGTCACACTTTACAACAGGAGGTTACACCCTACAACAGGAGGTCACACTTTACAATGGGAGGTGACACTTTACAACAGGAGGTGACACACTTTACAACTAGAGGCGCACCTTATAACAGGAGGTCACACATTACAACAGGAGGTCACACTTTACAACAGGAGGTCACACTTTCCAACAGGAGGTCAAACTTTACAACAAGAGGTCACACTTTACGACATGAGGTTACACTTTACAATGGGAGGTGACACTTTACAACTAGAGGCGCACTTTACAACAGGAGGTCACACTTTATAACAGGAGGTCACACTTTACAACAGGAGGTCACACTTTACAACAAGAGGTCACACTTTACAACAGGAGGTTACACTTTACAATGGGAGGTGACACTTTACAACAGGAGGTCACACTTTACTTTACAACAGGAGGTCATACTTTACAACAGGAGGTCACACTTTACAACAGGAGGTCACACTTTAAAACAAGAGGTCACACTTTACAACAGGAGGTCACACTTTACAACAAGAAGTCACACTATACAACAGGAGGTTACACTTTACAACTTCCTCACATCCAACCCTCTATAACACCCATTACAATGAGCCAGCTACCCATTAGCCCCCTCTTGTTATCTCCTTACTTCTTAACCTCCTATCTGTAGCCCCCTTCCTGAACACCGCTTAACCATTGTCCACCTCGCATTAACAATCATATTGAGATGAGCCTTCTTCCTGCTAGCGCCCTAGTTTTTTTTATCCCACTACCCGATAACCCCCCTAATTATTGTGCCCCTTAGCCGTAATTTCCACCCTAATAACCTCCTACTTTTTGCTTCCTGTTATAGAAGCCGCTTCCCAATGAGCCCTGGTACCTGTTAACCTCGTACTTGTTGCCAACTAAATGTTTACCCTCCTTCTTGTTAGCCCCTACCCATTAGCTACACACCTTTTACCCCTATGCAACTTGGTAACATCCATATCAATAAGCCCCCTATCTGAAACTCATTGGCTTCTGTTCATTATCCCCAAACCAGTAGTCCCATATCAGTTAGCGAAACTTGTTGTTTGCCTCCTACTTATTAGCCCCCTACACAAAAGCCCTACATCCCATATCAGTTAGCCTCTCAGTTGCCCCCACCCCTACCCTTACTGCTTGTCCTCCAGTTGAGTGCCTGTAAGCCCCATACCCTAGTTCCTGTTGGCCCAATATGAAACATACTGTAACCATTAGTTCATTTTAAGCTATTGCTAGACCATTGTTTACTTTATACTGAATCGATTAAATAAACGGTATACTTCACATCCCTAGGTCCGAAGAGTTAGGTTAGCTTATGCTTCTTGCTAGCATTTGTCATCTGACAGCGTCAACTTTCCCTTTTAAAGGATCCCTTGAACAAAGAAACAGTAGATTAAATAAAATAAAAATACGGCTACGCTAAGGGCAGAGGGACCTGGTATATGGATATATATAGGCATATAAATATAGACTAATAAATGCTGTTCTCAGCTTCTTTTAATAGAAAAAAAAGACCAGGTGAGCTATAAGAACAGTAAGCCTAATTTTTTGGATTATTGACCCCTGTTCCTTTGAAAATTAATTTGATGTCATGACTTTTTGCAAACTTTGTAGTATTTCATGGCAGCGAGCTACTGGCCAATTATCAATTTATGATTCTAGACCTTCGAAATTTACAGAAGAAGTTGTTTGAACGTTTTAACAATTTTGACCCTGTGACCCTGACGGAAGATCAATGCAATCTTTATTGAGCTTAATTCTAGATAGCTAAAATGACGTGACCCAACACCCTATTGTAGAATTGGTGGTTGTGTTGTTGTAAGTGATAGAGTCAGTGCATGTGGTATCATTTTGGATGTTGCTGAGCTTCCATGATAAAGTATCCCTCAAGGTGGTATCGGTCCCAGTGATTGCATCCTTCCCACTGGTTTTGTCTGTCCTGGTGGTGTTCCTCTATGTGAAGGTTTCAGTCTTAGCGGTGGAATCGTTCACAGTGCTTGTGTCCTTCCTAAGGGTGTTGTCTGTCCTGGTGTTGTCCCTTTATGTGTTAGGTGTCAGACACAATGGTGGCGTCATTCCTGCTGTTGTCTTCATTCCTTGTGGCTTCATCAGTGCTCGTGTTAATGTCTTCGTGTGGTGTTGTGATTCTTAGCGGTGGCTGCTGGCATCTCTTATAGTAATGATGTCTCCTTGGGTGATGGTGTCAACCTTCCATGTGTTTTTGTCCTCCTTAGTAGTTGTGTCAATCCTGACAGTAGTACCTCTTCTACTAGGACTGACTATGCGCCTGTGAGGACACAACCATGACTGATGGCACCACTAGGAGGGACATCATCACCACAAGGACTGATGCCACCACTAGGAGGGACACCATCACCACAAGGACTGATGCCAACACTATGAGGGACACTATCACCACAATGACTGATGCCACCACTAGGAGGGACACCATCACCCCCAGGATGATGCCACCACTAGGAGGGACACCATAACCACCAGGATGATGCCACCACTAGGAGGGACACCACCACCACAAGGACTGATGCCACCACTGGGAGGGACACCATCACCACCAGGATGATGCCACCTCTAGGAGGGACACCATCACCACCAGGATGATGCCACCACTAGGAGGGACACCGTCACCACAAGGACTGATGCCACCACTATGAGGGACACTATCACCACAATGACTCATGCCACCACTAGGAGGGACACCATCTCCACAAGGACTGATGCCACCACTAGGAGGGACACCATCACCACCAGGATGATGCCACCACTAGGAGGGACACCATCACCACCAAGACTGATGCTACTTACAGGACTGATGCTACAAGACCTATTCAGGCATCACCAGTAGTGGCATCCCTCCTGATGACTTGACTTGACCCAATTCCAATGTCAGAAATGTGCTTGCCAACAGTATTCAATAGAGGTGAGCATCTCACCTATTTAAAGAGCAGGGGGACTTATACAGACCTAGCCGTGCCATTCTTCATATATATCCTGAACATTTTATTGAGTTATCTTCAGATAGCTAAAGTTATGACCCAGACAATGACTTTGAATTTGAAATCAATGTGACCATGATTTTCTTGCAATCCTACATGTATTCCTATAGTTTCATTGAGTTATCTTTAGTGTGTCAAAACTTATGGCCCAGACATGTACAGTGAATTCGGACTTTGAAATCAATGTGACAATGACCTAGGCCGTAATGACCCTAAAGTAGTACACAACCGGCTTATCGTCCTAAATATATCCCTTAAACGTTATTGATATATATTCAGTGCATCAAACATCTGGGGCTCAGGCAACAAATTTAAACTTTGACTTAAATGTGACCATGACCTTGGCTGCGTTGACCCCAGAGTAGTACCCTACACACCGCCTTACCATCCTTTATTTATCCCTTAAATCATATTGAGATATCTTAGACAAATCTGACCTTTGATCTCAATGTGACCATGATCTTGGATGGAACAACAAACAGATGGACAGCAGCTATGTTCTCTTTGAATTTTTTTCAGGGAGCATACAGAAACAAGTGTTGTATTGTTCACCTTGATGTTTAAACAATTAAGGCAAAATCTTCTCATTAAAAGTATAATATTGCAAATGTGTCCTCAACCAGTGTTCTCCCCAGGCTGGTACCGTTACGCATGAATTTTGAGCCGCTACGCATCACCATTTTACCGTTACGCATACATTTGACCGTTAATCATTGAGAGGTACATCACATCACAAATACGACTGGGACATAAAGGTCTCACAAATTGATAACCTCTTCTCCCCTTTCTAATTAGACTCACCCTCAATATACTAGCCTTTTATTGTTCTTTAGGATCGACACCCTGATCAACGAACTCTGCCCTGGGAGTAGATTTGCCTGTGGGGATGTGAACGACCCATAGATGTGAACTGAACTGATGTCCGTTGCATTTATCTCTTTGTCGGTGCTTCAAGACTTTTTTATTTCAGTTTTTTCCACAGTCACAAAAAGTAAATATGCGGATATTTTCTGAAGATCTTTTTTGTCATCAACCCGGTTCTGTTGATATTTCTAACGGGAGATATCTTCAAAAAAGATATCATTTAAAATTTCATCAGCTTTGATTTCTATTTGTTGAGAATATGAACGAAATAATTGACATTTTTGAAAGTCTGGATATAGTCTTTACATTATTTATGCATCACGTACCACTCATAAAAGAAGCAATGGAAAATGCATTTATGACGAAATTAACACTAATTTTCCAGACAACCAACACAAGTGCAACGCCCTTTTTCAGCAACGTATTACTTTTTCACAACGCGTGCCGATTTATAACTAGTTACAGACAGAAACTGTAATTTTATTTGGCATCATTACCTGTCAAACCTCGGTGACAGTTACAAAATTTGAAATTCAATCCGTTGTTTCAGGATGGAACAGTAATTGAGACTACATATCCATATTAAGACTATTTCAGTGACATCAAAGTATTATTTGTTTTAATTTCATTTTTTTAACTAACATCTCTATACATTTACTAAGACTAATCGTCAAATATGTAATATGCACTTTTTTCTATAGTAATTACCAAACAGTTCCCCCCAGCTTATATCAATCATTCTTTTTGTGCCCTGACGGAAGAATACAGAGGGTTTAATTCTTAATATGGGAGAAAGCTGAAGTATCCGGTGCAGGTGACCGGGATTGAATACGGCCATGCATCTTGGTGAAGACGAGCGCGCTATCCACTGCGCCACCGACCAATCATATACGTTACGCACAAAAACAAATATCTAATTTAGATTTGACTGGAAGAAAAAGGCGTCATTGATGCAAAAATTACATTGTGAATACATTTTTACCAATCATCAATGATATAAAAAAAAAAATCTACATACGGGAGACCGGGGGCAGGTTCAACCATCGCTGATATTATTATTTTTTGAGCTAATATTTACAAGTTTAAGGATCTTAGCAGTTTTACAGGAAAAGGAGGGCAGAAAGGTCCAAAAGTATACTTGGACTTCACCAAATAGTACTTCAATGGTTTAATGCTTGCAACTGTGTTACAGAGTGTTACTCTGTTACAGAGAGTTATTCCTTTCTCCTGGAACTTTTGACAAACTTTCAGAATAAAACATAATTGACACATTCTTTCGGAAATCGATACTACCATTCAAAATAAAACAAGAGGCCAAATGGGCCTGCATCACTCACCTGGTATAAATTCCGCACTTGTAACCTTAAAAGTGATCTATAACAAAGCAACAGGCAAAATATCAGTATTTATGATTAAAAGTCATTCAAAAGAACAAGTTAAAAGATTTAAAAACATTTCACCCCTTTGACCTTGAAAGTCGAACAAGGTCATTATGTTGAACTGATTTTATAGCCCTTCATCTCAGGATGCAACTTGCAAAATATCACCAACCTATCCTTATGTTTATTAAAATTAGGTAATTCAAATGTTTATACATATTTGACAAAATGTGACCTTGAAAGTGGATCAAGGTCATTCACATGAAAAAGCTTGATAGCCCCTCATCCAAGCATGCTACTGGCCAAATATCATTATCCTGGGCCTCTTTGTTATTCAGAAGAAGTTGTTTAAAGATTTTTTAAGACAATTGATCACTGTGACCTTGAATATGGATGAAGGTCATTCATTGGAACAAACTTGGTAGCCCTTAATCCCAACATCCTTCTGATTAAATATCATCACCCTGGACCTTTCAGTTTTACAGAAGTTGTGGAAAGGTTTTAAACATATTTGACCCCTGTGACCTTGAATATGGGTCAAGGTTATTTATTTGAACGAACTTGGTAACCTTTCATCCCAGCATGTTACTGGCCAAATAGCATCACCCTAGGTCTCTTGATTATTCAGAAGAAGTTGTTTAAAGGTTTAAAACATATTTGATCCCTGTGACCTTGAATATAATCCAAGGTCATTTATTTGAATAAACTTGGAAGCCCTTCATTCCAGCATGTTACTGGCCAAATTTAAGCACCCTAGGCCTCTCAAATTTCCGAAGAAGTTGTTTAAAGGTTTTAACATATTTGACCCATGTGACCTTGAAAATGGATGAAGGCCATTTATTTGAACAAACTCAATAGTCCTTCGTCCCAGCATGTTACTGGCCAACTATCATCACCCTAGGACTCTCGGTTATTCAGAAGAAGTTGTTTAAAGGTTTTAAACATATTTGACCCCTGTGGCCTTGAATATAAGTCAAGGTCATTTATTTGAATAAATTTGGTAGCCTTCATTCCAGCATGTTACTGGCCAAATTTAAGCACCCTAGGCCTCTCGGATTTTCGAAGAAGTTGTTTAAAGGTTTTAACATATTTGACCCCTGTGACCTTGAAAATAGACGAAGGTCATTTATTTGAACAAACTCGGTAGTCCTTCATCCCAGCATATTACTGGCCAAATATCATCACCCTAAGCCTCTCGGTTATTCAGAAGAAGTTGTTTAAAGGTTTTAAACATATTTGACCCCTGTGGCCTTGAATATAAATTAAGGTCATTTATTTGAACAAACTTGGTAGCCCTTCATCCCAGCATGTTACTGGCAAAATATCATCACCCTATGCCTCTTGGTTATTCAGAAGAAGTTGTTTGAAGGTTTTAAACATATATGACCCCTGTGACCTTGACAATGGATGAAGGTAATTTATTTGAACAAACTTTGTAGCCCTTCATCCCAGCATGTTACTGGCCAAATATCATCACCCTGGGCCTCTTGGTTATTCAGAAGAAGTTGTTTAAAGGTTTAAAACATATTTGACCCCTGTGACCTTGAATATAAATCAAGGTCATTTATTTGAACAAACTTGGTAGCCAATTCATCCCAGCGTGTTACTGACCAAATATCATCACCCTAGGCCTCTTGGTTATTCAGAAGAAGTTGTTTGAAGTAAAATGTTGACGACGGACGGACAGACGACGCACCATGCCATAAAAACAAGATAATGAGAGAAAAAACACGTTTGTAAAGGTGATCCTTATCCCTTTTCAAAGCCTAAGCATGGATGTAACTGAGGTCATTATTGATTTTATTCAATGATTCTGCTAGGAGTCAACCCCGGGACCTCTGGTGTTTTGTCCTATGCTCAACTGAATGAGCTAAAGATAAGTTTTAATTTAGCCGAGTCAGCAGGAAGCGGCTAGTATGTTATCAGGGTGACATAAATATATATCATTCTCTCCCAGGGTTTTTTGCCCTTCGCTAATACCACACCAAGTGGAAAACAGTTCTAAAGATCCTAGCGCATCTCTTTCTTACATTCTCTGCACAGAACATGAGTAAGCATAACTTATGGGATTTTGAGGACGGTGGGAAAAAGGAAAAAGAAAACAGCGGATGTATACGTATATGTCAATTTGTGTTAGCTAAGATATAGATCTGCAATAATAATTGGACGTAAAAGTTGTGAAATCAAAATATACATAGTTGTCTTCAACGTATGGAGACGAAAAACATTTTGTTCTTTTAACGCCATCAAGCATATAATACTGTTCAAACACATTTTTCAAAATCTTAAAATTAAGTGTGGCGTTGGGTGAATTATAAAGGTGAATGGGGACGTTTGGTGAATTATAAAGGTGAATGGGGACGTTGGGTGAATTATAAAGGTGAATCGGTTGTTGGGTGAATTATAAAGGTGAATGGGGGCGTTAGGTGAATTATAAAGGTGAAGTGGGGTGTTGGGTGAATTATAAAGGTGAATGGGGGGGTTGTGTGAATTATAAAGGTGAATGGGGGGTTTGTATGAATTATAAAGGTGAATGGGGGCGTTGGGTGAATTATAAAGGTGAATGGGGCATTGTGTGAATTATAAAGGTGAAGGGGGGCTTTGTATGAATTATAAAGGTGAATGGGGGCGTTATGTGAATTATAAAGGTGAATGGGGCATTGGGGGAATTATAAAGGTGAATGGGGCGTTGGGTGAATTATAAAGGTGGATGGGGGCGTTGTGTGAATTATAAAGGTGAATGGGGGCCTGGTGTGAATTATAAAGGTGAATGGGGCGTTGGGTGAATTATAAAGGTGAATGGGGGCGTTAGGTGAATTATAAAGGTGAATGGGGCATTGTGTGAATTATAAAGGTGAATGGGGGCTTTGTATGAATTATAAAGGTGAATGGGGGCGTTGTGTGAATTATAAAGGTGAATGGGGCATTGGGTGAATTATAAAGGTGAATGGGGCGTTGTGTGAATTATAAAGGTGAATGTCACTAGACAAAGGTGTGCAAGAACTATGAAGAAAACAAGACACTGAAACAGTACAAGTGTTTATTCAATACTGTAGCCATGTCTAGCACGAGAGTCAGTTTTCTATTTATATGTCTGCTCTCCTTACATTTATAAACAATCTCTCTCACTAAAAGTAAACAAACAAATAAAGGTAAAATTTAACTATTACCCACTTTTATTTCAGCTTGATTACTGAGATGCCTTGTACTCTCATCAACTCTTACACATCAACTCAATGGCATGATTGTAGGTATTCACTGGAAATGCTTCACATGAGGTATACCTTCAAATATATCTAAATAATTTATTATTTATTTCACCTTATTTGAATAGATTTTGCTAATATCATTTTCTGGAAATAGCCAGGTGCATGTGCTATAAGTAAACCTCTAAATACAGTACATGCCATATTTTATTTCTTTAAGTAATCACACTTGTCAATATATTTTCTTTCAAACACTCAAAAACAGAAACAACATTCATAAAAAACAGTTTCCCAACATGATTCTATAGCACTAGTAAATCACTATAGGACTATGTGACAGTGACTTTAAACCACTCCTCTAGTCTGTTCAGGTAACGGTTTCCAATGTTAAAATTGATGTTGCTGATGTAGGTTCTCTCTGAACCATAGCGCACTAGCCTTACCAAATAAAACCTGACACAAACCTGAATTACCTTGATCTATACAAATACAGTCACATGATGATGATGGAGCACAGTCAAATGACACATGACACTCAGTCTGAAAGTGATGTAACACAGTAAGTCATATGACAAAGTCACATGACTCTTTGTCCTGTAGTTATGTAGCACACTAGTCACATGACCAAATCATATGACATTCTGTCCTAAGGTGATGTAGCAGAGTAAATCACATGACACGATCACATGACACTCTGTCCGGGAGCGCGGTCCTCATCCACATGGATGCTGACAATATGGTAGCCTGGGATCATGGCCAGCCCGAGTATTCTAGGATCTTCCTTCTTTCCACTGTCTGAAATTCAATTTGGAAAATTGATTTTAATTCTAGAATGAAACTTGTTTACCTTTTCATTAATACAACAGATCAATTAAGATACTAAAAACGTTTTTTTCTTAGAATATTTCAAATCTGAAACACATTTAATATCAACAATATATTTAACCATATGTCAGATTGAGATTTGTTCATCCACTTATTAGAAAATATGTATAATTACTTTGCACTTAAGTGACCTTTGACCTTGAGCTGAAAGTAAAGGTTACTTAAATACACTGCACTGCTCACCTTTCATGGGTGATGCAGGTATAGTAATACTTCAAGTATCATGTCATCAATACCTCTGATTAATTATAAGTTACAGCCCAGAAAAGATTTCTTTGAAAATTTTGCACTTATTTGACGTGAGGAAGGCCATGGGGACTTAATAGTTACAGAGCATTGGACACCTTATATGTAAGATACAGATATACTTAAAATTTCGTTAGAAAGGGAGATGCAAGATTTTTTTAAAAGAAAAACCAGAAGAAGAACCAGTAATAATGCAATATTTTCTCTCTTCATTTGATTGGAAGATATAATTATCCATGAATTCATTTTACCTGGTGATCGCAAATACTCCTCACAGGAACCCAGGATCACATTTCTGTCTCGATCAGTGCACAGAAACACACCTAAAGAAGAAGAAAAAAGTAACAATTTTTTATTCAAAATTGCTAAATGCACATATATTACCTAGTTTGTGTAATTGAAAGAAAGTTGAGTTTATTATTAATTTCACTAAATAACTATTATACATTTACAATTTAATCTGTCCATCTCTTATTTAGCTTATGAATAAGTTTTGATCAGATGTTGATAGTATGGACCACACTGAAGCTGACAATATTTGGACAAAATGGAGGAACCTTTTCACAAGATGTTAAACCATAAGCAGATCATAAGGAAATGAGTTAACACCTTTGCAAGTTAAAGGAATATACCTTAGGGTATCATCAACAGAATTTTTAAGTTTGATTAACAACTTACTGGCAAATACGATGTGTATATACTATATAATTGTGGGAAAACAGATTGCTAGCTAGGTGTTTATTTTACTGCTTTCCATGTGTATCCCTTTATTACCATCCTAGTGTAACTAAAGGTACGGTACGGCTATTCTATCGGCATATGTAGCGGATATCACCGGTGCAGTCTATTTGTTTACATGGGTGTTTACTTTTGAGACGACTGGATTTTGGAGAGTTACCGGAAGAGGTTCCAGGCTCACTGTGCATACACCCTAGATTAAGCAAATCAGAATGGGTGTCCGATACATGTTACATAGGGCCAGGAGGCTGGGGTATAAAAGGGAATGCACGGGCAAAATTGGGGACTTGCATGGCCAGAAAGACGGCTATACCAGGAGGGGAAAACCCCTCCACCGAGGCACTGAAAACATTGTTACCGATGTACTGAAAGCAGTGCACCCATATTAGGGTAAGGTTAAGACTGGTTAGCTTAACGTATTTCAGTGTTCCGGGAGGGGTTGGTTTTCACCGTTATAGAACAGTTACATTTACATATAGGCCTTATTTTACCACGTGGGGGCTGATATTCATAGGTTCACTTCACTTCATTCTTTTCTCTACACTGTAGGTTATGTTCTGTCTTTCATACTGTATACTGCTATTAATGTACATATTGTTTGCCATGTTTTAACGGCTAACTTAGCTGTGTGTTAGTAATTAAACGTTATAGTTAACTTTGAAACAAGGTGTTGATTGGTTTATAGCTTGGATACTCCTCCACATCTGACGGACCTGTGTCTGACTGTACAGATCGACGCAGTGTGACATTTTTGAGGATTGCTGCAGGTCAGTTTGTCGCTAGTTTGGGGGAAAACCTAAATTACTATACGATCACTTTCATCTACAGACACTGGCCAGGCTCTCCCAACGGACGTCCTATTACATAATAGTACTTTCATATACACAACTTATTAGTGTGTCAAGCACATTTGCTTACAACACCAGTAACAAGGCAACTTGTCAAATGTGACAGTGAAATAGTGAGTGATCTGTTGTAGACGTACCAATAAGTGTCCTGCCATCAGTCATTTGTATTTTCATACCCTTGTTCAGCCACCTCTCCAATTTCTTCTTTCCTTCTGAATTTTCTGAATCTGGTTCCTGTGAGAAGATAAACAAATGTAAGAGTGTTGGTTTCCATGAGTATATAAATGCTCGACTGTTTTCTAAACATGTTCCCTATGAATACTTAAATGCAAAAACATTTTTTACAACCTGCTAGAACTCTTTCTACATCTAAATACAATTTGGTAACTCCAAATGAAATAGTATCCAAGATAATTTTAAGGGAATGGAAGACAGACAGAAAGACAATTTGACAGAGTGTAAACATATAGCGGTACCCGGTCGTTTCGGTACTTCAAAAAGAAGATGTTTCGGTACTTTTTGTAAGTCGTTTTGGTATATATACGTACCTGTATTTAAGTTGTTTCAGTACCTGTATTTAAGTTGTTTCAGTACTTCGTTTTGTTTTTAATTCTTATAAGTTAATAAATATTTCTCATTTGTTATTTATCATTGGTTGTTTATTTAACATTTGCTTTCGTATTTGTTTAAACAATCACGCAGATCAGTCAATCATTGTTTTCGTACTTCAAGCGTGATCCAGCAACATATGCGATGGTTACTTTTTTAACTGAGCAGCTAAATGGATCGGCGTAGCTCTTTAGGAAAAACTCAACGTTGAGGGAATTCACAAACTTGTCATAAAAATGAGGGTTTCACTATCAAAATTATAAATAAACTCATCATGTCTTCAGATGATACGTGTATTCAGTGTGACGGCGTTATTCGACCTCGACAGGAAACCCTACAGTGTTACATATGCAGTCGATGGCAGCACAGAAAGTATGGAACTGGTGGGTACAAATTGGTAATAATTAGCAATGTCTTTGTGGGAGTTAACAAAATATAGTTCAATATATTGCTAAGAAATACGGGATTTCTAAGGGACATTTAATAAGATTATTCACATATCACAAAATGAACGTCGGTTAATATACCTAGCAAATTATTAAAATTATTACTTTGTTTTTATATTCCATTACTTACCAAATTATTGAAATATACATCCCGTTATACTTAGCTATTTATTTTGTTGAAATATGAATTAAACATGTTATATTATTGAAATATGTACGTCCTGTTATCTTTAGAAATTATTGAAATATGAAAAAGACATTTTAAAATATATACGTCCAAATATACTTAGCTATTTATTTTGTTGAAATACGAATTATACATTTTATATATATGACCTGTTATACTTAGAAATTATTGAAATATAAATTAAACATGTTATATATATGTCCCACTATACTGTCTATAATAGTAGCTATTGATGAAGTGTGGTTATTGTACAGAGAATCCTTATACAGAGTAACGTGTGAAACTGTCAAGAATAGTAGCTATTGATGAAGTGTGGTTATTATACAGGGAATTCTTATACAGAGTAACGTGTGAAACTGTCTAGAATAGTAGCCATTGAATGACGATGTGAATAACAAATATGTTGTTAACTGTTTTGAAATGTATTTTTGTTTTTGTTTACCGAGTATAAATATATGCTATCCCCTAATGGAAATAAAATTATTCATCAATGTAATAATACTAATCTTGTTTTGTTTTTGGTATTCATGGTTGAAATGAATGCCGTGTATCAATCAACAAAACGAATAAAAACTGATGAGAGAAAACATGACGTAAGGGTACTTCAAATGGAACACTTTACATTTACATATAGTTACATCATGAAGCGTCATGTGTATCTTGCAATCTGCCTTTTCCAAATCAAATAATGTTGAATAGCAGCTCTAAATATAAAACATTGAATAACAGTACAAACTCATTTTGCCGTACCCTTGCGTGAAAAAAAAAAATCAAGTCCTTGATACATGGACTGTATCAAAACAGGCAAAGACCACTTGAGAAAATCTATTAAAGAAAGACATTAAGAAACATGAGCAAATCAAAATAAGGAGATTGAACAAACTGATACAAACATGTGTATTATAGCACAAGTTTGACTCCACACTTAAGAGTTACTTCCCTTGAAGGTATACAGCACACAAAAAGTTGTGATGTTGACTATAAGTTGGTAGCAAAATGTTTTTTCCAAAAGAACCGAAACGACTTTCAGAAGTACCAAAACGACTTCCATAAGTATTGAAACGACTTGGTACTGAGACGGCCGGGTACCAAAACGACAAGGGCTACATTCGCATATCCCGGTTGAAACAGTACGCTACATTTTCCACGATAAACGAACGCACTTGGACCGTTTTATAAGTTTATACGGTCAAACCGGTCGGACCACAGTTGTTCGTTTATTAAATAAGTTCGGACCTTGTAGTCTGATGCTGCTTTCAGGCGAACCTTGACAAAGCCTGCATAAACATTTGCAGGTCCGAAAGGATTTATTTCCGAAATTGTTACATTAATTTTATAAACAGTCAAACCAGTTTTTCCACTAAACGAAAAGGCCCATAGTCTACTCCAACAACAGGGTCTCGTTACAAATGTCTGAATACACATATGCTATACAGATGTGGGTCATACATATATGTTTATGTGTGTTGTGACTCATACATGTATGTGTATTCAGACATTTTTAACCAGACCCTGTGGTCCAACCATGTACGTTAGAGGTTTTACAAGGCGAGAATCTTTTGACGCGTAACGCAGTCGGGAAATCATATCCAATAGAAAAAGGCTGATTAGCGGCCACTTATGTTATATGAGTAATATATAGACCACTCCAGTATCGAGTAACACAAATGAGGGGACTTAGGCTACATTCGCGTATCCGGTTGAACCTGTAAAGAAAACGACAGGTACAGATTTGGACCGAGGCTGACCTCAGGAAAATTTGGTACGTGTAGATTGAGGGGTCCAGACGTACCTGACCGAAACTAAAATGCTGACTATTGCCAATTTGCGTTACTTCTTTCTTAAACAATGTCAAGTCACATGTATTTTTTAAGATACGTTATGTAACTTAGTGGACGCGTGAGAGAAATCGAAGGGCATAATATTCTCGATACATTGTTTTTATTCTCCGAAACTGTGGATTTTTAGTTCTGCTTATAGATCGGTCCAAGTGTGTTCGTTTATCGTGGAAAATTTCTGCGCCACACGTACCGTTTCAACCGGGATACGCGAATGTAGCCCAAAACTGGTACGTATCAAACGTGTTAAACGACCACGATCATGATGCTCCATGGTCAATTTACATAAGAAAATGTGTAAGGCGGTGTTATTTTGATATTTAAACACAATATATAAATACCACAGATTTATATACACTGAATTCAAGCAGATAAGTGTTTATCAGTATTTTTCTGAAATACTTCCTCACCTCGCCCGCCATCTTTGTTTTTTCGAGACAAAAATACGAATTGCAGATTCAAAGACGAAACAAAAACAAATTATTTATTTTTGCATTGTTTAATATTTGTTCAAAACCAATATTATACCTTGAAATATCAATATGATTAATATCAATACTATGTACAACGTAGTTTGCTGATTGGAGGAAGTTTATATTTATGTAATTCGCTTGTTTTATGTTTCCGATTTTAATTTATTTCCGGTGTTGATTAGTTGACATTGGCAACAGTCGATTTCCCGTAGTTCGACTGGTCGCGACACCAAAATGGGTCGACCAAAGTATTTCACACCCTCTGAAGTTGCTGTACACAACACAGTAGACGACCTTTGGGTATCTTTCCTTGGAAAAGTGTATGATCTTACACCACTCTGTGAAAAATACACAGGTAAGTTAGTTGTGAGGGTTGGCAAAAGTATTTGTAGAAACCAAACACATCAACATGCATGCTGGACATGACGAACTTGTTACTTAGAAGTGATGCAGATAAATTGAACAATGATCCATTGGTTAGATTAGATATCATCCAGACGTTGGGCACCCTAAATCGTCCACATCATGAGTGTGCATTTTCTTTTATTATAATTAAAATATATTTGTTTAACCCCCCCNACTCTAATGACTGTATGATTTTTACCGAGGTATTAATTTTGATTTATTTGGTACTGTCAGGTTATCTTCAATATTTGCAATAATTTTACTTTACAAACACATTTTCAATTTCCAGTGTTTATATATTTCTGTGTTCCCTTTGAGATAAAAAATGAGCTAACCTGTATATCTTCAAAACTGTGTTTCACTTGAAGATACTAAATCGAGTAGAGTTGTGTTATGTACAGTACCCAAGCTAGTAACGAGTTGATAAACAGGGTATTTTTATCAATTCTTTGCATGCTTTCTTTCTCGGTATATATTGAGTCAATACAAGTTATTACAAACCAATTTTTAACAAAGCCTCTGTATTCATTGATAAATACTTATTCTCTTATACTAAGTCCCGTAATCTTAAGGTGTAAATAGTTTTAAAAATTGTTTCGACAACAACTTCAACAGTCAATAATCATGATAAGGCATATAGCACATGTTAGACAAACTCATGCATGCTTCATGCGTCCCCTGTATGCCCTATCTAGTTAAAGGCTACCCCAAAAGCTCTAACCTATCTGGCCTGTAAAGAAGGAGAAAATTGGCAAAAATACCAGCAAAATTCAATCCACTGGTCTTCAACGAATCCAATGTAACATATGCGGTCAATAGCTTTTACTCATTCACCCGAGAAATTTCATTTTAACTATTCCAACCTTTGAATTGGAAGAGTTCAAATGTGTCTTCAGGGGTAAATGAGTTAAATACCAACAAGGAAATTTCTTCTAGTGGGAAGCTGATAGATGGCCAGCATCATATAAACAATTTAAAGTTGCCACACAGGATGACGTAAGAGGAGAGGAAAATTGCAGTCAGAACTCTGGACCCTCCAAACACTAGACAGACGCACTAACCAATTTAGCTTCCTGGTTGTTAGAAATGCAGCAGTATAAAGAAATGAAAACTGTGTCCAACTTGTTTTAACACATCCACCTTTTTCTTTTCGATTCATTTTCCTTATCATAAGCCCTATTGAAAATATCAACATCCTGTGATTAAAAACTTCACAATTTTGTTTTTCTTCCAGGCGATGTCCTGTTAAAACCAATCATCCAGTCAGCAGGAAAGGATATTTCACACTGGTTTAATGCTAAACTGAAAGATGTAAGTTAACTAGGAATAATATTTTTAAAATGAAGATCATCTTTTGTTTTATTATCACATCTTATTAAGATCATAAAAACTGCATGGTGTCCAGCAGTATAAAATATACTATAGAGTGTACATTTTATATGCATGTATTTAATTATTACCTGAAACTGATAATTAAACTTAGAAATCATAGCCCTAAAATGTTTTTATATTGACGCAAACATTTTCACATAAGGGCATAAGTATTTTCGGGAAAGAAATAAAAGTTGCATTTTATAAGGCCTATAAACACAAAACAAAATTGAGTGATTGGACTTGAAAATTATTTCCGGGTAAAAATGTAAAGACAATCAACTTTTGGGTGGAGTGTAAAGTATGTGTAAGGGAGAAAATGGTATGAGGAATATGTTATTTACTGTTAGCAGATGATGGTGCCACTCAACTTAAACGTTTGTTCATAGTGTATTTATGTCATAACATGGACAAACATACACCCCAGTCACCTGGTCACATTACCCCGATATCAGACGAGCCAAAATACAGGTTGACCGTTCACCTGAAAGGAAGTAGTAGATAAAAGAATTGAAAGTACATACCCGTATGTATATCTCAAGTGTAGCTAAGCGGGGCAGCTGATAAAACTTTTCCTGTTTCCAAAAAGATGGTAACCAAAAACAATGAGCAAGATACTTGTATTACTTACTTCATACAATAACAATGTAATAATATTTATTTCATTTATTGAGAGTTATATATTTACAGCTGAGCACGCTAATTCTATAATCAAGACCTCTAGGGGATTAGACATCAAGGGCTGATATTACACCATCCTCCATATCAGGGAATATTCTTACTGAACACTCTGCACCCCTTGAATATGTCATAGCAAAATAGAAAGCACAAAGCTAGCTACAAATGTATTTGATTGGTCTCAGGAAAGAAGCCTGACTAATCGTTAGGCTGATGCAATAATAGTCCTTCAAAGATTATAGAGGAGCGACACCCGACTTCAAAGCAAGTCAATTTTATCTTACGCGAAGGTGAGATTCTTTTGATGTACATCAAAGGATCAAACTAGTCTTCCTGCCTCATCCACAAGGTGGTGCACACTCAGCCTTCAAATTTGCCTTGAAATATTCCAGGGGTGCAGAGAGTGAAAGTGAGCATAACCCTGGAGTATCCAGAATGATATTACACAAGCTATTGTTAATAAAAAAAAAATCTTTATTTTTTCATTTTCTTTTCACCTGCACTTCCAGATTCGAACCCATGTAGACCCACTGACTGGCTGTGTAATCCCGTATTGTCCAAATGGCCGATTTGTCCACATTCCCCCACCATATCCAGACAGCTTCTGGGCAAATGATTTTGGACGTCCATGGTGGAAAGATGAAGGGTATCTCGTAGGAATATTGTCAAAGAAAACAAGATCTGTCAAAATTATCAACACATTAACATCACAGGAACAAGTCATAGAGGTGAGAAGAAAGATTTTTATTAAAACAAATGTCAAATTATTTGCTGGAAGAAATTTTATTTATCAAACTTAATCATTTTCTTTTAGTTTCTGGGAAATATGTCCTTCACTCTTTGCTTTACAATAATTAGCTGAAGCTAGGTATAAATGCTGAATTTCAGAACTATATATTTCTCGGTACTTAATTGTTTCTATGAACAGGAGGGAATCAGTGACCTAGTATGATGTTATAATGTTGCATACCAATGTTAAGTAAAGATGGCTTCCAAACTTCAATAGAGATAATTGCATTGATAAAATTATATCAAAATGTCCACAGGTGTGTTCAGAAGAAATAATGACAGAGATTTTAGACCGATACATCAAGTATAATGCACACGCGGGGAGCTACACATGGAAATATGATGGCAGAAACCTGGTCATGACCGATACATTGGAAGATAACAAGATCCCTGACGAGGACCAGGAGTTCTACAAACTTAGCATGAATGATGACACATTCCTACAGGCCATCCATTTGTATTTCAACGACGACCTCACGGAGGCGTAGTGCCAGTGACTACCTCCAAGGCGTGGTGTCCACATTCACAACAACAACTATAAAGAAATATATCAAAGCAAGTCTGTCCAAGCAAAAAGAGGAAGGAAATAAACACACACCTGTGAAACAAATAAACAGAAGAAATAGATCAATCAGTCAATACAGTTAAATTGAAATAAAGCAGATCATTTTGATAAAAAAAAGAATGTGAAAATAAGAATATTTTTGAAGCCAAGAACTGCATGAACAGTGTGTACATTTTATTTTTCTGTCCCTAAAAGACCTTATCACATGTGGGTATTTTATGGTAATTATATGCTGGCTTTCCCTGCTATTGGAGAAGTATAATTATCGTTGGTCACAGCAATACATACATGACTAGGCCAATCTATTATTGTAACATCACTGTCAGTGCTATGATTGAAATGTGCACTACTGTGAAGAATAATACTTATTCCTGTTGTTTTGAAAGTAAAAAGGATACAAAATAAATATTTATGTGTTACAGCAAAAATTAATATGAGAAATTTCTGTTTAAATTACAATCAATTTTGTTGACAAAAATTTCCTGCAGGTAGATGTACTTTTGGACTTGACTCAGATAAGTTGATAAATATAGCTGTACTAATATTTACAATGAAAACAGGGAAAGAAAATACACACAAGGTATTTTTTTCATTTTATTCAACATCATGCAAACCATGAAAAAAATGTTACCAACATCATTTAGTCAACAAGTGATCACTGATGAGAAAATGCTGTGATATTTATTTCAGGTATATGTTGTAAAATATTGCATTCAATACAGCAGAAGGACCATAATATGTCTACTTAGATGTTCTATTAGGCATTTGTAAAATTTCTGTTGCCTTAACTTTCTCTGTATTGAGAGCTACATAACTGTCAACTTTTGTATATATTTTATCAGTTTTGTAATATACATGCATTTGTAAATATGAAATAAAAGATTAATGTCATTGAGTATGGTTGTGTAGAGTATTTCTATGCAGACATCAAAAGTTAAAAACCAGCTTTTGAATCATATAACATACTGTAGACCATGAGTTTTTTGCCTTTTTTTCGCCGTTTGTAATGAGGGCATATTTATCATTACAGCAAACTTTGTAACAAGGTAAGATACAATAGTAATTAAATGTGAATCTAATATTTAGTGAAAATAGATTTTACCGTTGCAGGGCGAAAATTTGACTGGGTGAAAATTTAACAGGGCGAAAATTTGACTTGGTGAAAATTTTCTGGTATACAGTATATAAACTAGACTAAGTTTAATGAGAAGAACAGGTTTTTGAAAAAACTTGGCAGGTCAAATTGTAACAGTTACAGGGATGGATGCATGCAAAAATCCAACAATAAACTTAAAACAACAGCAAAATTTGTGGTGTGGATATACAGAATTATACACCTTGGTGATTCCAGAATCCCATCAATGGAAATCTTCATATACAAAAAACAAAATATTGTAAAATATTGTATGACTATTTTATTGTATCTACAGAAGCATTTTTTTTTTTTCAAAACTAGTGTTCATACATGTATGTACATGTAGTATATATACTATTTTGAAGCAACATGTTACAGCTGGCATACGATAGAATGTAAATTGAAAAAACAACATTTCCAGACATCCTAAATACAAAACGGAATATAAACAGCATTTCAAAACCCATGCATTAATGTGAGCTTTCCCATTTTGTTTCTGGGTTATATTTCTTATTATGTCACTGAAATATTATTTTGTTACGAAGAAAGTTGTTAAGTTTAATTACATTGAAACCTATCTTAGATTTCTTAATGTATGGCGTTTATTCAGAATTAAGATAGTATTAATGGGCGACATGTAATGTACTGTTAAGAACATCTAGTAGGTATTATCGGGTATACTAGTAAGTGTACTAGTAGCTGCTGGTTTGATCCATTTCCAGCACCAAGAGCCGTCAATAGTTCTATAAAGGCGGATACCTATGGACAAAATAAAAAACAATAATTTGGAGAGAAAGAAGGAGCATTATATTAATGCATGAAAGAAAACAGAACATATCAAATCAATGATTCGATGCAACTATTTTGAATGATGTTAAAACATGTTAAAAAGTTAAAACCACAATCACCATCTATTAGTCTCCAAACCACAAATGTAATTCCTTAGTCGAGTCAATTAATAAAACTGCGCTCAGGATTTTCTCATCTACTGTGAAAATTAACTTTTTTCACCAATACACATACACAATATCTGTACACTTTTGCCTTTGAACTCTGAAACGCTGACACTTCCTCGATTTTGGATGGGTATGTTTTAGGTTTAAGAAGAATAGGAAGAAATTGCAGAAATTACCAGTAATTGCATGGTGTGGAATGTATATTTAAGCACTGAGCCATAGTTACCTTGACCTATGACCCAAAATGAAATAGAGGTCTTGTCTTTGTGCGCATATTGTGTACTGACATTTTTTTAAGTCTATGCAAAACTAGATATATAAGCCTCTTAGCACTAACATATAGCTGTAATTAGAAAATGAAATTATTATATACTGTATATATATGAACTTGACAATGACAACCATAATAAAGGCAGTAAATGGCTTCAAAGGGGTGGGGCAAGACAAAAATTTCAAAGGCAAGGTATGTAAAGGGGTACAATCATTTATGATGCAATGACATAACTCCTATAATATGTGTCGGGAGGGAAACAACTTGTATTTATTACAGTTAACCTTTTCCATGGGTTGCCTCTGTTCCCAAACCTTCAATCACCATTAATGTAGTCATTATATTAAATCCTATTCAAAGTTACAATGAAACAAACTTAATTGCAATTTTAATGATAATATGTAACTATTCATGGTGAAAATATCAATTTCCTGGTACATGTAACATATGTTTCGGTAAATCATCCATATATTCAAACATTCAATAATATAAGGAGTAAAGTTGCGGTCATATGAAAATATGACTTAGAATAAAGGATAAATATTAGGACCATTATATAGTTGGGCTTTCAAAAGTAAGTTTTCTAAACCAATTTTAATGTACAGTTTGGTTTTTAAATGATCATCCTAGTAAGGTTCAGTTCTTAAAAATATTGTTGAGTTTCTAAAGTTTGGTTGGGTTTTGCTAAAGTTCGGTTGGGTTTTGCTAAAGTTCGGTTGGGTTTTGCTAAAGTTCGGTTGGGTTTTAAAGGTAGTAATACAGTTGGTTTTTGAAATCATCAGTTTACAGCTGGGTTTTTGAAAGTACAGTTTGGTTTCCCGAAATACAGTTGGGTTTTCAAAAGTACTGGTTTTTTTTTTCAAATACCGTGTGAGCATGACACAGGTTTTTCAGAAAAAAACGTGTTCTGTTGGGACCCAATTTTCCTGTTCTATACCAGCTAGTTACCGGTCGGGTTCCTGTTCTATACCAGCTGGTTACCAGTTGGGTTCCTGTTCTATACCAGCTAGTTACCAGTTGGGTTCCTGTTCTATACCAGCTAGTTACCAGTTGGGTTCCTGTTCTATACCAGCTGGTTACCGGTTGGGTTCCTGTTCTATACCAACTGTTTACCGGTTGGGTTCCTGTTCTATACCAGCTGATAACCTGCTCAACTTTTCGTAGAAAAAATTGCTTGTGGCCAATACCTGTAGGACAATCAGTAGTACACACAGGAGGTTTGTCTGGTACTGTACTGATATTCAACATTTCAACAAAATCAGTACATGAATGTTAAAATGCATAGCGGGACAAATTATCTTAATATAAAACATGTCACAACAGAAGAACTGTCACATGCTGACAGCTTTACATGATGTAATTTTATATAGAATTTGGTTCATAAGATACCTATAGTAGAATAGTAATGCATATAGTGCAAAATTATCACACACTGTACTGTGTTATCCAATGAATATACCCATGGCATATTGTTTTGGGTATTAACCCATGTAATATGACCTATCAGCCCTGTGATTGGTTGTAAGCTTCAATTGTTTCACTTGTGACGTCACGCCTAGGACAAGTACAGTACATGACGTCACAGACTTAGGCACTGGAGTCAAAATGGCGGCTTTTCACATTTCAAGGTTGCATGAAAATTGTCGTTTTACACGAATAAATGCCACAAATCTTGATTATGTGATAAAAAGGATCTTACACACGTTTTCATTTCATATGAAATTTATATAGCTCGCCCGAGGCTCGCTAAATTGAAAAAGTCTAAGACTCGTTTTATCAATCTCTTATGAAATGAAAACTCATGTAAGATCCTATATACTGAAATACATGAATAATAAAAGATTTCATTAACAAGTATAAGAAATACATGTACATGCATCATCTACATGTAGCACCTCATCTGTAAGTATAATCTGAACAAATTAAGACACAAATTTTCATTTTACCCTAACTTTTATTAGCTAAACATATATATACTGCTAATACAACGTATATTCACATTTTCAAACCAAGAGATACATACAGCATCAATGGTACACTTAGCCAACTTAACATCTATTCAAGCAGAAAATCAACCTAGTATTTCATAAACAAGAGGCCCATGGGCCTTAACGGTCACCTGATATATTTATACAGAGAGTTGATTTTGTTTTTAACATGAACAGAAATATTATTCAAAGTGACAAAAAACAATAAAACCACCTTACTCAATATCTAGCATACAGATTTCAGACTAAAAAGGATTTGAAACTAGCACCTCTGATTCTTAACAAGGAAAATGAAGAAATTTTAGCACACTGACTCCTTTGAGCCCCACCCTACAGCCCTTGGGGGTAGGGCTGGCTCAAAATTTTCAAAGTATCAAACTGTCAATTCAAGGTTATAATTCCAATCAAGTTATTAACATGTAAT